GTGAAAATGTCATGTACTCCAGCCAAAATTATCAAGAAAAGCTGCAGAAAGCTATAGCATTAACAATGATAAGTACTTAGATCACAGAAAATCTGGATTACTTGATAAAACCACGTGCCCCCTGCCAAACTTTTATATAGAGGTCAGAATCTTATCTATCAAAGTAGAGAGAAAACTATTTATACTGCCATTAGCAGTAACTTCACTGGATACTTCCATTATAGGAGGGAAAGAGGGGAATCTAGCTCCCGGAAAAAAAAAAACAAAAAAAAAAACAGTGTGTAAGAGGGGAAAGCCCTGAGTTGGTACGCTCTTAACCACAGCTCCTTTACTACCTGATAGGATTCTGATTTCCTTGCAAGTAAAGCATTTCTTTAGCTTTCCTCAGAAATATTTCCCATATTTTTCTATTTGAGTTGCAAAGCACAGTGACTACAGAATTTAGTGAAATATTCCCAAACTTAAATCCATTTCTCATCTACTATTATACAAATAGTATTAATTACTTCATCTGCCTCTTTTTTCATTTCTTTTTGTGAGGGGAATTTGCTATCTCTTTACATGAAGAGAACTTGCAGGCTGGCTGATGATGGCTTCTTTTCAGGATTTTTAAAATTCTAGAAGCCATAAGTATACCTTGAAGGAAACTTTCATCATCATTTTAAGAGTATGGTGCCTCAAACTCTCCAGAGGTCTACACTTGGGTCTTATAGCCCAGTGTTTATATATTTACAGATGGACAGAATGTCATGGTCTGTTGAACCAACTGAAGTGAAAAATGAAAAACAAATTATTAGTTGAGAGAGTAACATTTTAGAGTGGTAAAAATATTTCAGAATAGTAAGAGTACTTTAAGTAAGGGTATTTTAGAAAAATAAGAGTGAGAGTAGACTTGAGGGCTGGATTTCTAGAGAAATTCCTTCAAGAGAAATTAGTAAGTTATTAGAGAAGAACTCAAAAAGGGAAAAAGAAGGGAGATAAAGGGCTGACAGGGAGGTACAGAGAGAAATTGGAAGACAGAAATTAGACTCAGATTCAGACACACCCTCTAATAAGCTGTCCTTCAGACAGCCCCAGAACTCCCTATCTTTCCCTCTCCTCCCCTGACTGGAAGAGTGATCTTTCAGCTTTCCTTGGTTTCTGGCCTCCCTCCCACTGTTCTAGAAGTAGAAAGAATTCAAAATGAAAAATAAAACATATAGTAGAATCACATTTCATTTCACTGCTATTTATTTTCAGAAACTACTTTCATAATGTAGTGGATAATTTTTTAGACATGCAACTTCACAGTATAAGGAAAATCACCCACTAAAGTTATCCCATTAAAAAAAAAAAAACAGGTAGTTTTCTGAAATAAAGGCTAATATCAAATAAGATAGTCATAGGTAAATTCTGGGGGGAAATGAGGAAAATTATTGCTCTATCATAAGACAAAAAATGACCTTAGGATCTTGCTCATCTGTCTACCTTCTGGAAAGAACTAATGTTATTTTTAATTTCCTCCAGAGAAAAGGCTGCTACTTAACTCAGTAACCCATCCTGGTAAAGCAACAAAACATGTGTTTCATTCCCATAAGACCCTCCATTTCAATTGCTGGGCTTAAATCTGATATATACTATCCTCATCTACAGGTGGACAGAGCCCCGTACTTTTTAGGACATATCTGCACTTAGGAAAAGCCGCCACTAGATGGAGCCCTTATATTTTATTTCCTTGTCTTGGCTATTCTCTAGCTTGGATGACCACACACACTGGACAGTCCATTCTCATACCTGTTTTGCTGATGAACTGTGAATAAGTAACTGTTAATCAGTTGTTAATAAAACTGTTAACACCCATTTCTATACTCTATTGAGATAATTAATTTGAAACAACCCTTTAGGTTTAAACAATATAAGACAATACAGTAAGAGCTTTGAGCTTATTTTAAGTAGTTTCTATATTTTTTGACTAAACCTCTCTGGTTGTATCCCAGTCATAGAGAGACCCAATCATAAGGAGAGAGAAAGAGAGAGAGAGAGAGAGAGAGAGACTGACTGCTCTCTAAAACTTGGTGAAATGTGTGATTTAGTTTTGATATTCCCAATTGTTCAGGTTATTACACCTGCCGTTCTAATAGTCCTCTAATTTGCTTTTGATTTCCAAATATTTTGTGCCTATCTGCCATTATTTTAACCAAGCTTCCTTCAGACATGCTCATTCTATAATATGTGAAAGATAAGCTGCTATAAATTATTTACAATACATATTTTTAAATGAGCTCTTTAAAACTTAAACATTGGGATTTAAATGTGCCCAGCACGGGCTTCCTTACATAATTCTACAACTAGTCCAGTCTGCATATGCATCTATCTGTGTGTGGCTTTACTTCCAGATGACATCTGGCAATGATAGGCATCTAATATCAACTCCTAATTTTTCATTTTAACTATGTAATTAGCATAATCATATTTTACCTAATTATAAAGTAAATTAAGGAATGTGTTGCAAAAGATATCTCATAAAGTGATAATCAGATTCAAAGGGTGGTTTAAAATCTTCCCCTCCTCCCTTCTTTCAGTCAGAATGTCTAGGTACTGGAGGTAGAGAGCCTCTGGCAATTTGGGTGACATGCGTCCTCAAGCTATTTTGGTTCTTAGATATTTGGAACTGCAGGGCCTCTGATGGTTGGATCATAGTTTTAAAAGCCAGATGTTACTGTTTACTTCTTTTAAGCTAATTATATCCTCACCCTCACAGCTTAGCCAGCACCCTTGTTTGGGACTCTCCTTTGTTAATTCCATCAAAGCCCTATTTATTTGTGGGTTCATGGTGTTTCTCTTCCTGCTATTTATCTTTTCTTCTTCCAACCCCAAGCAAAAATAGAAGGAAAACATGTTCTTCTTTTCTGAAGTCTATGTGAAACTATTAAATCCTCTGGTGTTTTCCTCCAAAGGAAACCATTTCCTTCTGGCCCCATGATCAGGAACCACAAATATAGTGTGCTCTTTCTTAGGAAATTAATTCAACCTTCTTTGGGGATTGACCTTTGAACACAATTCTTCAGCCATACTTGTGGTGTCATTCAACTTAGCAATAATTATTTTGCACTTGGTAGAATCACATAGTCTTGTTATGATTAAGACAGATTTCTCTAGAAGGTCATCACTATGATAGATATATTCTTTTTAAAAACATGAAAGTTGCTGGCAAACATTACAAATACAGGTTTGTCACCATTTCCCAGAGAAATTCAAACTTGGGACTCTGTCTCTTAAACACACACACAACACACACAACACACACACACACACACACACGCATGTCAGTCACCTTTTTTTTTTTTAGGTTTTCACGTATTTCTGAAAAATGATAGTGACTATCCCTGTGATCTAGAGACCGAGATCATCATAAACTACTCCAAGTTAAAATATTATACTTTCTCTTTTCTTTTTTAAACTTTCCATAAATACTTCCAGCATGTTTACCACCCTCCCCCAATATGTACCCATATTGAGAGGATACATCCAGGCCTATGTGTGGGCTAGAATAGAGCTAGCTTGGAGAGCTGTTTAAGCATTCTCTCCCAGGTCTTCCTCTGGACCATCCTGAGAGTTGCTCTCTAGCCAATCTCTGTGCTTATCCTTTTTAAAAAGTTATCAGTAATTGAAACAATTTATCTTTGTCTTGCTGTACCATCCAATTTAATCAAAATTATTAATGAGCAAGGGATTTTGAGAACAGTAGGAGACGGAAGCAAGCCACGGTCCCCCCTCTCAAGAAACAGTGTAGTGGGGAGACAGACACAGAAAGTCTAATACATGCTGTGTAGGTATAAAATATGAGGGGAGAACAAAGAACAATGTATTATCACTTTCTCTCCTAGTCTAATAAGATGGCAAATGTTTCCTTTCAGCTTTATTGTTTTTATTTTTTTTTAATTTATTTATTTTAGAGAGCAAAAGAGAAAAAGAGGACTGGGGATGGAAGGGCACGAGGAGAGGGAGAGAATCTCAAGCAGACTTCCCACTTAGCTCAGAGCCTGATGTGGGGCTAGATCCCAAGACCCTGAAATCATGACCTAAGCCAAAATCTTACTGAGCCACCCAAACACCCATTAAGTTTTATTGTTTTTATAATGTGGGTGTGGAAGTTTTCTATTCCCTTAGGAAGGCAGGCTCCTGTCCCGCATGTATGTTCTTTTCCAAAAAGGGACAATGTCTCAGGTGACAATGGGAATGGAAATAACTGTAGTCCTCATCTACAATGTACCATAGCAGGGAGGAATCGTCACTAGGCCAATTGAGTTGACCTTCCACTTTCACTTGGCTTTGTCCTTCCAGGGGATTAGCCAGTCAGAGGGGCTGAAGGGCGTGTCCTCCTTTCTGGAGGGAGAGCACTGAACCTTAGCAACAAAGATCTACTGTGCCGCTTAAAAGAGATCAATCTGAGGAAAGAGAGAATAGAACAGTGAACCTTTGGTGTTTCAAGAAACTTTGCTCTAAAATAATTCATTTGTATTTTAAACACAAGAAAAATGCACATAATTCTGGTGAACTTTGATATTCTAAATACGTCTGCACTTACAGACAAGGAAAAGATCACTCTTTACTGTTACCAAACACCCCACTATTAGAAGGATGCTTGTGTTTATGAACAGAACAGGACCCCTTAGAGTTCGATAAGTAAAGCAACCTGAGCAGCACTTATAATAAAAATTTTTAGGAAGTAAAACATCAAAGAGTGCCTGGAAGTATGCAGATACAGACCGAGTCTCATGCATGCCGTCCAGAGAAGAGCGCGGAGGTGCCCATGGAGCCTGTCCCAGATCCTTCACTGTCTGCAATTCCACAGGGCAACACCTCTAAGCACTAGGAAGCAGTAGCCATCTAAATTCCCGTAAATTATTCTGAGGGAAAAATATCGCCAGGAATGACACTTGCAATAGAAACAGCAGATATGTTTTACATCGAACAAAATCCCAGAGTTTGTTTTTGTTCTTTGAGGTTATAATAAAGGCTTTTTTTTTTTTTTTTAACTCAGGTTAGAATTAGCCTAGAGGTGAAACAACTGTATAATAAAGATGAGTTCAGAAAGTAGAGCAGTTCAACCATGGTCTGGAAAATAGGTTGCCAGATGAAGTACTGGCTTTTCCCTTGGAGCCATTTAGTGTCTCTGTGCATCAAATTAGAAAATGTAAGTTTATTAAAACGATTTGCAGTGAATTGTGAAGCATGCTTACAAGCTGAAAATGAGATTGTGCTTCTTCAGTACTTAACCAGTGGGCTCCCGACCCTCAAGTACCACTTTGGGCATATTGCTGGACATGAAGTTTGAAAACTATTGGGAAAAGCCCAATATCTATATATATATTCAATGGCCAACATGAAAAAGGCATCTTTTTTTTTCTTTTTTTTTTTGCACTATTAAATGGAAATGTTTATTTAACAGCTATGGGGTGTGATGCCCTTGTTTTTTAGGTTTTTTTTTTTTAATAAAATTGTGTATACTTAAGGTGTACAACATGAGGATTCGATATATAAATACATCAGTGCAATTATTACTACTCAAGATAATTAACTCATCTCCTCACAGTTACCTTTTGTGTTTGTGTTTGTGTGTGTGTGTGTGTGTGCATGCATGTGTGGTGAGAGCACCCGAAATCTACCCTTTTAGCGAATCTCCAGTATTTAATACAATTTTATTAACCACAGTTGGGACCTGAACTCCAGACTTACCACATTCCTACTATGCAGACTTCATCATTCCACTCATTAAGTCAGCTTTCGTATTTCCAAATTCTTGTGAGAGCTGAAAGCAATAAACTTCCTAATAGTGCCAAGATTGGTTCTTTTGTGAACTATGTGCTGAACTGTCTGCTAAACTAGAGAAAACTCTGTGAAAGTTAGGTCTCTAACTCCTTAGGGTACATGATAAAGCAGGGAATCACCTACACAACCTCAAAGAAAACTGAGAGGAGAAACCAAATTGACTAAAAAAAATTGAAGGAATCAAATTTAAATTCTCAATACATCATGACATGTGTTACAACAGTTTTAAATTCTTGTGTGAAGAATGAATGGATGTGGTAAAACTATTAAATACAATTGTGTCAGGGGGCCTCTCAGCCAGGAGGAACTCAACTCTGTCCAAGACCAGTACAAAGTCACAAAGAAACTAATCATTCTTTAGCTTAATCCACACCAATTAGTCTTCCTCCAGGCATCTGCTACCTGATTTTAGAGACCATATCAGAAATGAAAAGAAGCAGTGTCTTATTTATCATATGTCAAATTCTAAGGCATAACTTGTGAAGACCCTACTGTGCTTTACTTCCCTCAGAAAGAGATGCACTTACCTGTCCCTAGTATAAAGCAGTCTTTCATGTGGCTTTAAAGATTAGTCCTATGTCAGGTTATTATATTGCTTCCTCCCTGCAAAAGCCAACCATACAAGTTTCAAATCCTGAAATTCACTGGAATATTTATCAAAGAAATTATTTTAGCATAAGCAAGACCACTGTACTCAACTCTCTGTTTATCAAGTTTGCCTCCAAACTCTGCAAGTGGAGGAAACTTCAGGCATTTTTATGGGATTTCAGAATCCTCCAAGCACTCTTGGAAAAACAGAAATTAACGGGCTGTTGGCATTTCAAGAACTCATTGTTGGGATTATCAAAGGCTTCAGTAAGAAACTCAAACAAATAGAATAGGAAATCATTAGTGAGAAAGCAATAAGCATTTCTAGTGAAATCTATGTCCAGTGTACTAAGCACAAAGAGCTTACTTTATCCAGATCATCTGGAATTAGATGTACCCTAAAGACCACTAACCAGTAACGGTTTGTCTCCTACTTCCTGGCTGATGTTATTTCTAGTTTTTGTGTGTGTTGGGAGGGTGGGTCAGGGAAAGGGTATCACTACTACTTTTGAAAACTAGCTCTCCAGGTAGGATCAAATAAATCATCTACAGTGTAACTTCCTCTCATCTCCTCAGGACAATTACATTTAAATATGGGCCAAAAGCTTAAGTCACAGAAATGAGGCTTACTCACAGGATTTCAGAGAACAGCCTTTTGGGAAGCTTGGGACAGGATGGTGCAGTTGCCCTAGAGCTCTAAAAGTACAATGTGTAGGTCTGCCTTTCTCAGATTAGGCTGAAACTTCAAGTCCTTGCTGAAACTTCCAAGTCTTTGTTACAGAGTGCCTTGGAATCCTAGAGTCTGGTTTAATCAGTTTACTATCAACTCCAGAATAACAGAGGAGTATATACAGAGAGGACTTGTCTCAGGTGAAGTGAAATAATTATTTCCTTAATTAAAAACTAATTTAAATTCTAGGCTACTTACAGTAGCTGCTTGTTGGGGGAAGGGAACCACAAATTTAAAGTTGTGGTTATTTTTTTTTTTTAATGTTTGGGAAAATGTTTCAAGCAATAATATATTAGGTGTGCAATACTTTTGTCAGGTAAAGTGTCCTGGCTTTGGAAGGGTGAGAAGAGAATTTGTCACAGCAGACTGCCTTTCAAAGGGCAGTTTTGATTATATGGTTAACCCGACATTTGGGCTGATCACCCGACATCTGGCTGACATCACCAGGGATGGCACTGGATTTTATTGAGCTCCCCTTATCCAAACTACAACATGCTTACTGCTTTCTCTCCACATTCCCCACATCTCAGCCTCCAGGACCAGCTACCAGCAAGTCATTTTGTCCATTTTCGTTGGTCAGACCACACAAGGAACATCCTATTTCTTTAAATCTCTGAAGATCAAATTGCCATGTAGAAACCAACTCCCTATCAATTTTCTCCACATTTAATCCTCAGCTTCTTGTCATATGTTCATTTTTCTGCATTGGTTCCCATGGTAACGAGTCTATTGGCAGAGAAAGTGTGACTCTGCTTTTAGCCTTCTGTACAATACAAAATCCTTCTAGTGATCCTCAGGCAAGTGTTGTATGAAAAGGCAGAGAGAGACTATGGTTCCCTAGACTAATGCCTTTAATCCCCTACCCCACCGATGTTCTTTCCCACCCTGTTCTCAAACCAGGCCCACTGCCCAGAATCCCTTCACCTTTTGATTCAAGTATTCGAAGCACCCTCCTACCCAACTACAGATGCCAGAACTGAACCTTTTTTATTCAGATGGCGTCCTCTTCTGTCAGTGACTTACAGATAGAAATGTTTAACTAATGGCAATGGCTATTTGGAGGCAACACAGGAGACGCAACTTGCACTCATTTTTCTATAAAATATCCTCAGTATGCATCTGAGATGTATACAGCCCAGGGAATAAGTAGGTCCCAAATGGGGCCTTAAGTCGGTGTCTAATTTTAGGACAATGGGAGACAAACAGATTTTCTCCCAATGAGTAGTTAAGTGGCACGTGAGGGGAAGGCAAGGAGTCATCCTAGAGAATCGAGCTCTTGAGGAAGAGGAAGAGATAACAAAGATGTAGAGAAGCAAAGGAAACCTTGGAAGTAGTGGCTCCTATGTGGCTACAGTTGGGACAATTCAGGGTTCAAATAAGGAAGAGGTAAGAAACCTACCAGACGTGAAGGAAATGGAGCATAGTGAAAAAAGGGAGTTTTTGAGTTAACTGTCTGCAGAAAGGAAGCCTGCAAATGAGTGAACAGCTTTCTGCAGACTTTGGCCCAACTCCATTTACAAAATATTTTTCCAAGGAATCTTTCCCTTAGTAACAGACTATGTATTTTATTTTGAATTCTAGAATTCCACTGTGGCTTGGCAGTAAGTTATATGCCTAGCAACCCCAAATCTCCTATGTCCTCAGAACTTAGAAAAAAAATCAGGAACTGTTCATCAGAAATTAAACACATGCTGAATGTGCTTTTTATTTTTATTTTTTAAAGTTAATGAATTCAGGGGAATGAAAATAGATGTTAGAAATAAAAATGTGGGTATCTCTAGTTAAGAAAATGAATGATCAAATGTAAATGATTCTTTTTTTCGTTGGGTCTTAAAAGAATATGTGATCCTTAAGCACAGTGAAGTTTTAAAGTCAGCTGATTATATTGTACAAAGGTATTTTTGGCCCTTTAAAGATTATTTTCCTACATTAAGAAAAGTTTTCTTATATTAAAAACTTTTTATTGCGACTCAGGTTTTGTGTCTCGTATAGACACAGGTATATAGGTGTTTTTCTTTGCACACTTGTTTTGCACAGGTAAAATAATGAGATTAAATAATGCCCAGGTATGCAGGTCAACTTTTATGGTAGTTAGATAAAGGAAAGCATTTGATGAATGGACAAAAGAAATCACATAATATTTCTTTGTATCTTTCCGTCTCTCTTCCCCTTCCCCAGTGCTCTACTAAAGAACATCTATTTAGTCAGGAAATCTTATGTAATTTTTTGGAAAGTCCATAGGAAAAACAAGTTGCAAGTCTCAGGCAGATACAACATAAAGCGGTTCCCATATCTGTTAGAATGGTAATTTATTTTCAGAATGTAATGCCAAAATAAATTTTATATTCAATACTTGTAGAGTCTTTCCACTCAGAGGACTCTCATTGGTCTTGAATGTGGAAAAGACACCTGTTCAGGGCAGTGAGTAATGTTGTATGTTAAGTTTTACTCTAGGAAATTTGGTTTTAGCTTTGATGACACCTAGTGTCAATGGAATGCAATAAACGTTTTATACTGCTTTCTGATGTTTAAATATTTCCCTATAACATCCTCAACCGCATTTTTCTCCTTGAAAACGCTAGCCTTACTGTTTTCTGTTTGGAATGAAGAGAAAAATAACTGATAGGCAGATAAGCTGGATATTTTTGTCTCAAAGCCAGTCAAGTTCCTTTTTGGACTCAGTGTGTAGAAGGGACTAAAGGAAGCTTAAGGACAATGGCATTGTCTTCATATAAGGAGTAATTTTTTCCTAGTTAAAAAAATCAGAGATGAATCTACTAAATTGTAAATTTCAAAGACCATCTCAAATAACCTTGTGAAGGTAAGGTTGTTAGTGCTGTAGTTTCATTTTGGCCACTTTTTAACCATCCAACAGCACCTCCCACCCAGCTGTATATAAGTAAACCATAATATGAAATATGGTCTCTTTCTACTCAGAGAAGTAGTATTAACAGCAGCAATTATAAATAGTGATAGATTTTTAATTGGTCTATAAAGAATTATAAGTAAAAGGATATTAGGTACTAGGTTTTTAGACTTTTAAGTATCCATGAAAATTGTTCTTTCATTCCTAAAGTAACTGACAATTAATTACTTTGGATCTTAGTTACTGGGGGGGGGGGCACGACTCAATCTTTTTATTCCTGTGTAAAGACATTCTAATTCCACCTATTTATATTAATATTTTTCATATGCTAAACACATGTGCATACATACAAATTATCCATTTTTCCTTTGAGATCATATAATTCAGTTAGTGAAATATTTCACTCTTCTTTAAGAAAAATTCCTATGTAGTGATGCAACATCGGGCCACTATTTTAGTAAGATGAAGACAGTCTTCTAGACTCATTCCTTTTCAACATCTGACTTCACTACCATATGTGCAGGACAACAGTGACATCTTAAGGCCAAGTAACTAGAACTCCTTTAGCCAGAGAAAGAACTTGAATTGGGATCTGTTCTCAAGGAAATTTTATTATGTTATCAAGTAGTTTTCAAGTTCACAGTTTGCAACTGGTATATCTTTATAAATGCTACTTTATGACTTCTTTTGCAGTCTTTGTGAACATTTTAATGTGCACTGGTAAACACTTAACATTTTACATAGACATACTGTATATTAATGCATGCATTTCATTGCATAGTTTATTGACACTCCCCTTGTAAAGCTTTTATGGAAGAAACAACAAGCCACAGCAGTATAGCAAGAGAGACTTAATCTTTATAAATTGGGGCCTTTTCTGTCTCTTTGCTAGCCTAGGTGGCTGTATACAAATTTGGGTGGGAGGGGGCAAGAAACAATTCTTAACATTTTAGGTTTTCTACATGGTTGAACTCTAGCCAATTCAAAATAAATTGCTTACTTTAGTAAAAAATTTTACCATTTTATAAAAAAAATTAAATCATGACATGTTTAATTGAAATGGCTGTATTGTAATTAATATTTTGAGATAATTGTGATTTTGAGCTTCAATTATATATAAAAAGTTGTCATTTTTGTATGTGCTAAAAATGTATCACAATTAACAGTACTTTTTAGTTGAACTACATATTGATGTAAATAAAAACTGAATGAAGACATATTTACTACTTTATTAACATAGATTGTGAATGTACTTAATGGTTTTTTTGCAGTATGAGACCATAATGACCTTGAAAGCTGCTTCATTTTATGTGCAAAGGAGTCCTATGAATCTATATTTTAAATTTACTGAATCAGTGAAATTAATTACTTTGTCAGTTAATTTGCAAATGCAAGCTGTACTCTCCAGTTTATTTTATGTATTGACACTAATTGGTAAAGGTGTACAATGTGATTAGAATGCATTTTGAAGATGCTTTCTGTACAGATACAAAATACAGGGACTAAAATAATGCTGTGCAGTGTATAGCAGAGCCATTTTTCGGCTTTGGTGTACTCAACTTTTTCAGTATTTAAAAACGTGTTTTGAATAACATAAAAGTCTCTTTATTGTATAAATAATAAAATGTCACCTTATTGTAAAGTGTCTTTTGTTTAATATCGAAGCAGATTTCTTAGCCACAGAGCTGTAGTATGAAAAGGGGTTTTTTTTTTAAGCCAAAACAACCATTATAATCAATACTGGAAATATTATGAACATGTTGTATTTTTATTAGCAATGCACTTTTTCATAATATGAGCATGCTTCAATCACCCAAAAGCTAGCTACTTACCTATCTATATAAATTAACATACACTCTATTGATGGGCTATAGCTTTAACAGAATCACATGGTAAGTTTTATAATGACTGATCAGCCTACCTCTGACATTTTTGGTGTAAACAGAAATATTTCTATTTTCTTTTTACTAAATCAAGTTAACCTGTAATAAATTCCCCTTTAGAAAGTTTCCATATGACTACAAGTTTAGTCTTATGAAGATTAGAAGTAAATTTGAAAAGTAAGGCCCTGGAAATGAAAAAAAAAAAAAAAAGCACAAGTCTGGATAAGAACACACCAACAGAGTAGATAACGTATACAAATATCTGCTTAGTAAGTTACTAAGAAATTTCAAAGATTTCTATGTGGTTATTAGTTATTTTTTGTTGCTGATATCTATAGAATTAAAATAAGTTCTTCAGTACTTTTGTAAAGAAGAACAAAAGGTATTTTTAAACGCACTCTGAGGGAAAAATATGCAGATCCAACCCCTTCAAATTTCTTGAATCTACAAGTAGTAGGTTACTGTATGGAAACTTAATAGTAAGAAATTATTTTATAAAAACTTGTCAAGTTTTAAATTCAAAACTGTGAGAGTAATTTAAACAATACTTTTACTGTTTTCTCTACCAGTAACTACATCTCATGTAACATTTCTGTTACGTTAGAAATTATGACAAAATGGTTTCATAAAATGTGGGGAAAAGGCTAGACAAGAAACATTTCAACTAGATTAAAACAAAAGCAACTAGATTAAAACAAAAAGATAGTGACTGTTAATTTAAAACTTATACCAAGACCAACCAAATCACAGAAGTCTTAGCATGGGTAAGGAAAAGCCTTATTTTCTAAATGCCAAAGAACAGTTTTAAATAAAATTCAATTCAATTTTATATCTAACAAAAAGGTAGAAATTAGATTATCATATTCAAATCAACTGGTCACATTAAATGTAACACAAACAGAAATGGTGGGAAAAATCCCACTTCTACAAAAATGCTTTATCATTATAAAAATATCAAACTAACTTAAATAAAAATCCACTTCTGAAGAAACTGTTTCCTATCTTATAAGGAATGAAAGTAGGATAAATCTTATGCAAAACTTTCAGAATAAATGCATGAACACTGTATGTGGCTATCATCATTACGAATGCACAATACCTTAGAAAAATGTTATCAATGTAAGAAATCTAAGAATTAACATAACCAAGATATAAAACCAACTCTCAATTTAAGTAGGAATCCGGTCTCTCAAATATTCCAGAATAGCAGCTGTTCCTTTCATTAATATGGCTGCTCGAGGAACACGGAATGGATTTCCATCTAGTAGTAGTGTTCTAAACAAAAGAGAGAATTAAGAATTATAACATTTTCCATTAGGGAGGCTTTTCTTCTAATTTCATTTGCAATTTTATAAATAAATCTGTGTATTTTTCTCTATTTGTCCCTTTTCAAATCAAAGCATTTCAATAGTTGGAATTAGAACTACAATAATAATTCAAATAACATTAATTGAATACTTATTATAGGAAAGGTATTGTGCTGAGTAATTTATATTCACTGACTCTCTCCATTATCTTAACAATCCTATGGATGTAGACACCACGGATATTCCTATTTAGTAGATACGGAAACATAAGTTCAGAGAAGACAGATAGACGTGTCCCAAGATCATACCGCTGTTAAACTGAGGAGCTGTGAGCCACCATTTTACCCATCTTCTCCTCAATCTTATAATGACCATACACTACATGGTTGAATTATATTTATACATTAGAATGAGCATACTTATCAGTATACCAAGGGCTATAATGTAATCAAAATATGCCCCCTCCACCATGGTAAACATTGACAAATCCCTGCTCTCTACCTCCCTTGACCAGATACACACAGAAAATCTATTTGCATGTTCTAAAATGAGGTTCAACTAAGATTTGAGGACTGGTTGACTTGTTTCTTTACAAAATTAATGAAATAAATTATAAGATAAAGAGACTTTTATTTTAATTTTAATTTTTTATTTTTTTATTTTTTTAACATTTTATTTATTTATTTGACAGAGAGAGAGATCACAAGTAGGCAGAGGCAGGCAGAGAGAGAGGAGGAAGCAGGCTCCCTGCCGAACAGAGAGCCTGATGCGGGGCTCGATCCCAGGACTCTGGGACCATGACCTGAGCCGAAGGCAGAGGCTTTAACCCACTGAGCCACTCAGGCGCCCCATATTTTAATTTTTAATACTATAAGTGTTTGTATAAACAAAAGCCAAAGGATTCATACCATATTATACAACAGATCTAAATGATCTTCAATATTTCCATGGGCTGTGGGGATTCTTTTGAAGGTTGATTTTCTTAATTTATAAAAAGGAATGAATTACAGCCAATCCTCATTATTCACAGACTCCGTATGTGCTAATTTGCCTACCACTAAAAATTATTAGTAACCCGAAAATCAATACACAGGGCACTTTCGAGGTCATTTTTGGATATGCACAGAGAGCAAAAAATTTGAGTCAATCACTAGGCACATTCTCAGCTGAGGTCAGAAAGGTGATACTCTCCCTTCTTGTGTCAGTTCTCACACTGTAATCAAGTGTCCTTTCTGTGGTCTACCTAGTCATGCAACAGTTTTTGCATTTTTGTACTTTGTGTTGGTGATGTCACTGTTTAAAATGGCTTGCAAGTGTAGTGCTGAAGTATTGTTTACTTTTCCTAAACGCAAGAAGGCTGTTGTTTGCCTTCCTGAGAAAACATATATACCAGATAGGCTTCATTCAGGCATGAATTATAGTGTTGTTTGGCCACAGTTTAGTGTTAATGAATAAATAATATTAAATACGGAAACACACATACAAGGTTCCATATTGACTGGTTCATGAAAAGGTGATCAGAGGCTCGAAAGAGCCTAACTTTATACTTCCCCTAGCAATAATGGTTCAGTATTCACTAATTTGGTGTTCACGGAGACTTTATAAAATATAACTACTGCAAATAATAAGAACAAATTGTATTTGTTCTTTTCACTAATTCAATTCACTAATATGAGGCACCAAAGCAGATGTCAGTGCTGCCCTAGTAAAATATGCCCATCATATATAGTTTTCAATAATTAAATTCCTTTTGACACATTCTGCTTAAGTACTTGGCTTTCTATTGACATCTTAAACTCTCTTTATATTCATTTAACAAGCACTTATTGAGTGCTTACTGTGTTCTAGGCACTGGGACAACGCTTTTCTAAAGGAGGAAAAAGAAATGATACAAATGAGTCCAAACAAAGCAGGATGGAAAATCAGAGGGAGGGACTAACTCCGCTTGGAGAAGAGGGAAGGTTCTCAAAGATGATATTTAGGTTGATAACTGATAAAAGCAGGGTAGAGGCATTTGAGGCTAAGGTAACAGTCAACGCAAAGAATAAGAAAGACCATGCTGGCCTTGAAATAAATGGTGATAATCTGTAATCAGATTTTAAAAAACCTTGTACGCATAACTGGGGAGTTTATATTTCCCTGACATTTTTTTGCAGTGGAGTTTCAAGTTATACACATACACAGTGATGATAAAAGTATCCGAAAACAGTTACTCTATGTACACATATATGATACCATACAAACCAAGCTTAAAAATATATTATTTGGTAAAACTTGAAAAATGGAATTGGGATTCTGAATTTTGTTACCTGTTATTTTTAACACAACATTAAATTTTTTAATTCAACTTTCCTGTGAGAGTACCTCAACAAGAGAAAAGAAACAACTTATGAATTGATCAAATAAATGGAAACACTTAGTAGAATGGTGTAGTTACCTTAAGGTCACACAATTACCAAGCTCGGGTGGAATTTGTAGGAGGTCATTATTTTGAAGGTCCAATGTCATTAGATTTTCCATTGCCTTCATTTTCTGAGGGTCTACAGATCCAACCTGATTGTTACTAATCAAAATTGTTTCAAGTGTGGGGATGTGATACAGAACTTCAGGTAGTATTTTGAACCTATTAAAATATGAACAGAACACCTAACTATATTGGGATCAAAGCAAAAATCATTCCTTCAAATAGATGATCTTAAGTTTGATATCATGATATAGTTTCCTTTAGGGTAATTTATTTTATATTTGGTTTAAGTCCTGTATTCAAATTTCAAGAAAATGAACTGATTTTAGAAACCTTGAAATATATGTTAACTACATAGACTTGTAACATTTTCTATTAATTGTGCAAATGCAACAAAAGTTTAGAGTAAATTCTCCTATGTTTTTCTTTTCACATTTAATAGATAAGGAAATCCTCCTGAGATTCTACATAAAATGTCCCCCATGCAGGTATTCTTCCTTAGTTTGCTTTTACTTCTTATGAAACAGAATTACTACCAATATATTAAGTAAATATTAGAAAGTTACATTTTATGTTGACGGAAGCTTCCAAAATGTGTGCATTTTTGGTTTTTGAAAAGATGACTAACAGGGGCTGCTGCCTGCTAATCCAAAGCAACACTGAAGATGTCACAAAAAAGAAGGGAAAGCTGACTGCTCTCAGAGCAATACTCAGCAATTAATGCAACATTATTGAGGATCTCTTGGGGGACAGAGGCTGGCATGGTTTCAGTGTGAGATAAACTGTGGTACGGACTAGAAAAGACAAGGGATGAGCTGAAGGAGAGATTTATAGCTGTGGCCTTTTTACTTTCCTATACTGCCCTTCTTTTGCTGCCTTGATAGAAGGAAGGAAGGAAGGAAAGAAGAAAGGAGGGAGGGAAGAAGAGAAGGAAGGAAGGGAGGAACGATAAATAGATAAAATCAATAGCAAGCATAAATTCAAGACTGCTCTGAAGTTCCAGAGTGACTGGACAGTTAATAACTAGGAGTACAGAGGGACCACACTGCCCCAAAGCAATCCTTCCTCTTCTTCCCACCGATGCACGAATAAGGTAATTTACAAAGATGTAGCTCACCTGCTGACACAGAAGTTAGGGTTAGCTTTTGCGATCTTCCCTAAGACATTACTTGACAATGTGACTGACCGCTCACTAGACAATAGAGAACTGATAGTTCAGTTCTTAAATAAAAATTAGCAGAGATCTGAGAAGTGTATATATTTTTAAATAATGACAACAATGATATAACCTACACTTGAAAAACCACGAGCAATAATGAAGCAGACAGAATAGAAATTTAGATAGGCAATATTTTAGAAACATCACTCTGCCTTAGCTTCCTTAACTGCAAATAAGGAATAATAATGGTACTAAACTTACACACTTGTTATAAGGACTAAATGATTATATTTCAGCTGGAATACAGTAAACAAATGTTAGCTATTAATATTTAGATTGTTACCAGAATCAATGTGCATTATACAAAAGAAATGATATAGTTGTTAAGAGCCCAACCACTGGAGGCAAGCCACCGGGGCTCAAACCCCAGATCTATAATGTTGTATTTATATGAACCTTAGCAAAACATAAATATCTAATATTTACTTAATATACTGGCAGTAATTCTGTCTCACAAGAAGTAAAAGCAAACTAAGGAAGAATACCTACATGGAGAAATTTTATAGACACTCAGGATGATTTCCTTAACTTCTAATCCTCATAATGACAGAAAACCACCTTTTGTGAGGATTAAATGAGATAATATATGCACTTAGTCCTGTGTCAGCAGATAATAAGTCCTAAATAAATATTAGTGACTCCTAATTATTAGCAGCATCTTCAGACTGAGGAATAAAATCTTAGTTGGCATACAAAGCTCTGAGAGGACTCACTACTGCTCACATGCCCAAATTCATTTGTTCTTTCTGTTCCTTTATTCCCCACCCCCTTTATGGCCCAAGCCATAGCAAACTTCTTGAGCTGTCCCAAACACACCATGCTCTTATGTTTGTGTCTTAGTACATGCCAGTTGCTCCGCCTGGGATGCCCTATTCCTGAGTGTCTGGCTGATAACACATTTTTAAGTCTCAGTTTCAATGCTATCTCCTCTGCCTTCAGGCAATCTCAGGAAAAACTTTTACCTATGCACTGCATTTTCACTATAGCAATCCTCATTACTTATTTACGTATCTGTCTTCCTATTTGGCTACAAGTTTCTTAAAATTGTTAAAAGAAACAAAAAGTCTACTGGATATCAGCTGTGAAAATAAACCTGGATATTTAAATAAAGTAAACACATGGGGCCTTTTTATTTGGCTCTTTTAGGTGTATTCTCTAACTCCTTCAAATTCTCTACATAAAAATCCTTAGTCATAGATTAGTCTATTCTGTCTCTCACCTGTTAAAGGATAGATTAATTGTTTGTAGTCTTATCAGTGATTCCATTTCTTCAGGCAAAGAATTTAAAAAATTGTTCCTAAATTGAAAAGAAAAAGATGATTTACAAAGTTTGAAAATATGTATAATTTCAATTTATAATTAAAGTGTTGATCAGTTAGTTAAACATTTGTCTTTGGCTCGAATCATGATCCCAGGGTCCTGAGATCGAGTCTCACATCGCATCAGGTTCCCTGCTCATCCGGGAGTCTGCTTCTCCCTCTCCCTCTGCCCCTTCCCTCCGGTGGTACTCTCTCTCTGATGCATGCTCTCTCTCAAAGTAAATAAATAAAATCTTAAAAAAATAAAGTGTTGATTAGATAAAAAATTACGTAGCTCTGTTAGTCCTTGATCTGATCTCATTAAGGCTAAGTCCTGAGAATTCTGAATCAGTCAACTGCCTCAGTTATTTGATTAGTGTGCCAAATCCTAATACCAATACACAACCTATAAAGCAACCAACTCTTTAGTAATACATTTAATAGGGCAAAACCCTGTAAACTAATTACTTATTTCTTTCAAACTGATCTCAGAAATACGTCTCACAGATAGGGCCTTTGAAATCATGCCACATTGTTTGATTCCACAAATATTTGATTGGTGTTTAACACATGTATCTTGCATATAGACATGAAATTCTACTCTAAGAAGAACTGTAAAATTTTATGGAAAAAAAATGAAAGAGGAAAGTGATAAGATTCTATATATTTAGAAATTTGGGGCTTTCTACTGCAGATTTTAAGCAAGTCCATTTCTCCACTAAGTTTAAAATTTCAATTTGCCCAATGCATATATTTTTTAAGATTCTTAAAATGAAGCATGGGTGTAAACAGAATCTCATTTATTGTTAGAAGAATCTGGGAACAATGTTAAAGGTTAACAACAAGAAGGTGGAAGGATTCTAGAGCCTATATAATTACTTATAATAGAAAATATTGTGAGAAAATTATATTCAACTAGACGGTTATTACCTATTACAACTGGGTAATTTTCTCTAAATTTTTTTGTATTCAGAAGTCAAGCCTACTAATGTTAGTCATACTTTCTACACCCATGTTTTTTCTTTTCTCTGTACAGCTAATGTCTTTATTAAGCTGTACCAAATACCCTACTGCTGGTTTCTGTCCTTTTCCTAGAGTCTTATATACCTATTGGTATCAGGTAAAAAGTGTACGTTAGAGATGCCTGGGTGGCTCAGCCAGTTAAGGGACTCCCTTCGGCTCAGGTCATGATCTCAGGGTCCTGGGATCAAGCCGTGCATCAGGCTCTCTGCTCAGTGGGGAGCCTGCTTCTCCCTCCCCCTCTGCTACTCCCCTACTTGTGCTCTCTCCCTCTCTGTCAAATAAATTAAAAAATAAAATAAATAAAAGTGTACATTAGTTACTTAATTAGAAACCTAAAACTATAAACAATGGCATACACACACACCCCCTAAAGAATGGGACAAAAATAAAGAGAGCAGTAATGAGTGCATTAATCCATTCTCTCCTCTCCATTAATACTGACCTACAATATGGTTTTACACTGCTTTGCCAGTATAACTGCCACCCCAAGACAGAAGCAATTCTACATTTAAAAGGAGCAGAGTATTAGTAAATTTGCTTTAATCTCAAAAGCCCCCCCAAAAAAAAAAGCCTCTATAGGTAGAAAAATCCTCAGATATAACTTAGCTTATTGTTATTTACCTATTGCTTGAGCAGAGCAAAAAGAGCTACCGCTGAAATAAACTAAAAGCACACCTAGTAATTATACATGAGTAAGAAGTGAAGATAATAGAGCTATAGCTTACGAATAAAGACTTAAAGCCCAAACAAATAAATATTTGACTATCTACCTCTGAGTCATTTATTATTACCATCAAAGAACTGTGGCAATTCTGATCCTGTCACTTCAACTTAGGACATATTTAAATTAAACTTCCTATTACTTCTGCAGAGCCTTAAATAGTTTCTTCCCTTTTGTTGCCAGTCTTCGGGGTCTTTTTCTTTCTTTCTGGCCTTGAATGTTTACTGTAATATTTTGAAACCAAATAGGTTCTTCTTAAGAGAAGCCATGCTATCCTCTATGCTAGCACAGGATTTTTGACAGTTTTATGCTATTTACTTTCAGAAAAGGAAAAACAGGAAACAAACATTTTCCATGGGTTATTTGTAATTTTGCTCAAGCATGGATTTAAAGAATGTGTTAATATGCTCTACTATTTTAAAGAATTATTTCTTATTTAACTTACAAACTGCCTACAAATGATAGATATGTGATTAAAATATTTCCTAAATGCTAAATTTTAGATTTGTCCTAAGATGTAATTAATAAACTAAAAAGCAATTTCCACACTTACTTAGGAAACATGAGGGAACAAGTAAATGTTAGGCAAAACTCAAAGACAAGTTATAATGAAAAAGTGAAGCAATAACATCAATAAATACCTGAGATCTAAAAATGTCAACTTTTGAAACATACATAATTCCAAGGATATAAAGGAAAGCTTATTAAAACTGAGATTGACATCAGAAACCATTTCTTTCAGTTCCACAATTCTGAAACAAAAATAATTTAAAAATGTTAGCTCTTGAATTCACTGTCAGAACTTCAAAACTACAAGTAGACAATAGGAGGAAAAAATCCTATATTATTTTTGCTAGTTAAGATTTTCTGTAACTTTTACTTTTCTCACAATTTCAATCAGTTTGTATTCTATAACAGGTTTTTTTTAGGTTGCACAGTATAATATTCACTGTATCTGAGTACTTCAGGAAGTTTTTTAACTATGATATGTCAACATTATTAAAGTATAGTATTTTTTGTCCAAATTATCATTAGATTAATCATGACTTCAAGAGAATACTAAATTAATTCCTAGGTTTGGTAAGTGTCATGACTACAACAACTTAAGTCAAAGACTTAAAGAGAAAGACAACTACTGCTAAGTAAGACTACTCAACCTTAGTGATTTTAAAGCATGTTATTAACTAAAAGAACAAGAAATGTTAGATATGATTTGCCAAGAAATGAAACCATATGAAAGAAAGACTATCAACTGTTGTGTTAAAGAAAGATGAGTTTGGATATGTAACTGATAAAACTTTTTTGGAAAGTTTTTTGATATATGTATTGAGAGCCATACTCCTTTAGGTAATTCTTCTGGAAATCTGGTTGAAAAAAACAGTATGTTTTGTTTTATTTATTGCCATAATCAACCTGTAGTATATAGACAGATTTTAAAAGTATTGTTTACAACATAGGAAAACACTTAGGACAAATAAACCAGTTAAGATACAAATTGTATATATAATTCTAAAGGGGAAACAGTTTGAAATAAAACATGCCATGAATAGCAATAGGACTACAAAAGATCTGTCCCTTGATTTCGTCCAAAATTTTATGAGTAAGTATTATTTTCACAATCAGGAAATCATATAAGGAAATGTATGACTTGTGAAAAAAAAATTAAAGGAAAATTACTCAAACTCTCTAGATCAAGTTATGTCCTTACTATCTCTTCTTTGGTCATCTAAATTGCCAAAAATATGATGAAATAATGGAGGTAACAGAATACCATATTGTTTTGCATATGAACTACCAGGTTGAGGTAAAATGAGAAAGTAAGTAGTAAGGTGATGTGTTTTAACTCCTTCCATCTTCATTCCCAGTTTTGATCCAGGATCCCCCAGGCAAACCTATCCTGAGAGCAAATCTAACTGCTCAGTTCTTCTATCAAGTATTCTCAGAACCCTTTAAACAAGAGAGGAGAGGAAATAGATCTCTTTTTGCTATGGAATCTCAAAGTTAATTTACTTTTAAGATCTATATTCTCCAAACTAGGCCCTGCAAAACAGAAAGCAAGTTAAAGTTTGTCTGACTGTTTAAAAATTTTAAACATCGAAAAAATGTTTTTGACAGTCAAATTTTATATTCCCAATCACCTTTTTTTTTTTTTTTTAAGTACTTAAGTGCTTACTAAGTGCAGGCACTGGTTAAATGCTCTGTGTGGATTATGTCATTTAATTTAATTCTCATAAAATATGTACTTTAGTATCTTTACTCCATAGGTAGGGAAACTAAGAGCAGCTAGTTAGCCTGTTGAAAGCCACACAGCTCACTGATCTGGGTTACAGATACAAGCAATTGACTCCATTGTCCAAGTTCTTTACCTATTCCGTCTTCCCTACTGTTGTTTTACTTGTCAGCTTTCTTTGGGTATATAGTTTACTGCAAGATAACAATCATTTTAAAAGTTCCATATCATACTAAACTAATTTTCTCTCCTAAAGATTTTTTTCTCCTAATTTTCTCTAACCTAAAGATTTGCCATAACTTATATCAACAAAGCCATACTGAACAGTACAAGTACAATGCATATGACTTCTAGTATTTGATAGTAAAGAATCCTTTTCTGGGAGGAAAATATTAACAGGATTATCTGTTTTTTATTGCTTTTACTATTAGTGAAAAATTCAGTGGCTTAGCAATTCATTAACGTACAGCCCAAAATGAAAATTCCTATTAATCCACATGGACCTGGCTTTGGATGGTATCTTAAAACTTTTCCTCTAGTATTTCATTACATGGAAAAATTTATACTTTTAATAATTCTAATACCTATTTTCCATGTTTAAAATATAAAAGAAAAAGAAATCAAATTTTAAAAAACTTATATACCTCTCAGAACTGATGTTAATATGTCTCAGAGAATACTTAATTGTAATTTGTTAAATCCCTCAAATATCAATAGTGAAAAAAACCCTACATATATTTTAAATTAAAAAACATGAAAAATCATTATTCGTATCACTGAGATGCAAACACAACTGAAATGAGTCACAACTTAACAGAAATGACATCATGAACAATTCTCACCTTTTAGGAATTTCACATAGCTGATTCTTACTGAAGTTAACAGAAGTGATAATGTTGCTTTTCACTGCATCAAATACTTCATCAGGAATTAAAGTTGTTTGTTTATCACTAAATGAAAAATGATTTAAAAATGCATCATCCTTAGTAGTCCAGAAAGATATGATTATTACTTTTCACTTTTAAAGGCCCTTAAAGATTTTGTGTTTTCAATGCAGAAGGCAGTTGCTTATGAAGAACAGTGAAGAAGAATGCCACAAAAACCTACAAACTCACAAAATATTCACCATTAAGAATTCAGACAACATATCGTATCACAATACATGGTACCATACCTTCTGAGCATTCACATAGAGTGAATAAAACTAGATATATCTTCAGAGTCCAAGATGTTTAGAAAACACATAGTAATGGACAGTAATTAGTAAATGGATTCTTCTACCTCAGAATAGAACTAATCTATAATTTTAAAGCTGTTCCCATCCCTTTTCTCAGGGACTATCTGCCACCTTTATGTAGCTATATGGTTAACTGCAAGGTAACAATCATTTCTAAAAGTTCAACACTGTGGCAACCTGGGTGGCTCAGTCACTTAAGTATCTGCCTTTGGCTCAGGTCATGATCCCAGGGTCCTGGGATAGAGCCCCACGTTGGCCTCTCTGCTCAGCAGGGAGCCTCTTCTCCTTCTCCCTCTGCTGTTCCCCCTGCTTGTGCTCTCTCTGTCTCTGTAAAATAAATAAAACCTTTAAAAAAATAAATACAAATTAAAAAATAAAAGTTCAACATTATACTAAACCGTTTCTAAGCCAACTTCTCTATCTTTTAGCATGTGACAAGGTAGACAGGGTAGTGGCCTTAGACTAAACCATTCCTGGTTTTACCATTAAGGAGCTTTTTTAAAAATTACTTTCTCTTAACCTCAGTTCTGTGAAATTAGAATCTGAAGAGCTATTGATTGTTATGTGGGCCAGACCTTTTGCAAAAATAAATGTAAATAAATTTCCTTTTCAATAAGATTTTCAATAAAGCATACAATTAATCTTAAATGAAAGTATAGTAGTACTCTGACATTTGCAGATTTAACAATCTGTTGATGTTATAATTAGCCATTTGTCCCCATTCTTTTTTATAATTTTCAATACCTAATACATCATCCACTTAGAAATATTGTTGATAGAATGCCAAATTAATGACTTTATGAACAAGAAAACAATTATTACATATAAAGTCCAATATAGAGAAACCTGTAAGAAAGGCACTGTAATACAGATAGGTAAAAAGACAGCCTAAATTTCAGTTTTTATACCTTCTACTTCTGCTGTACGGCCCTATCTTCTATGTGTCAATAGGATTTTTATCTTTTTAATCAGAAATGCTCAAATCATGGGGAACTGATTTATCGTAATCGAACACTGAATATTACACTCTTTCAAAAAAATTTAGTTGAAGGCATTTATGCTTTGATATTGGGAATCGTTTATATTTTAAATGGAATACTCCTTTTCAATTAAAGTCTCTGAGGAAAATAAATTATAATAAATTTAGAATCAAAACAATCTAAGATGTATGGTCTTCAGTGCTATCTTTAAAACACTTTTGTGATATCTATGGCTTTGTTTTTATTTTTATTTTTTTAAAGATATTATTTATTTGAGAGAGAGACACACAGCAAGAGAGGGAACACAAGCAGCGGGAGTGGGAAAGGGAGAAGCAGGCTTGCCGCAGAGCCGGGAGCCTGATGCGGGGCCCAATCCCACGACCTGGGATCATGACTTGAGCCCGCCCAAGACCTGAGCCAAAGGCAGACGCTTAACAACTGAGCCAGCCAGGTGCCCTGATATCTGTGACTTTAAAAAGTGGGAACTGTTATCTCAAATAAAATTGTATCAATATTACTTTATAGATTGTTTGGAAGATTAAAAGCAACAGCATATGTAAAATACCTAGTACATTGCCCAGCACAGAATACGGACACAATAAATCATTCCCATTCAGGGATGAGGGAATGAAGGCAGAGAAAAAAAATTCTAAAGCAGGAATCAAGTCTGTCTCATCATCATTTGGTGTATTATGACACCTACCATAGGATTTGAAACCTAGTAGGTTCCAACAATGTCTATTAATAAATGGGTACATTATGTGGAAGAGAAGCATGCTAAGCTACCATGCTATGCTTTGAGAAAAGAGGGATACAAACATAAATATGGAAGAGTACATCTTGTGTTACAGTGTCAAACAAGGAAGCTGGCTTAGAGTAGGGATTTCTACATACATCAAAGAGTGTTAGACTAGAGGTAAAAACAATGTGAATGAAACAATAGATCTGAACTAGAAACTGTATCCTGACTTTTGAGAAGGTCAGTGGTTCCTACTGACATATTAAGGAAAAGAGGCCAGACACCAATGCTTACTGTTAGATAACTGAATAACTCTGGTCATCTGACTTGAACTTCAGTCTGTATCCTTTTGTATTTTCATTACAATATCCAGACATGAACTAAGCACTGTAGAAGCTTTGACAGCATTGGTTAATTTTATCATTGTTGCCTAGATAGTACTAAAAGAATACTTAACAATATTTGCATAGGTATCTTCTTTCCCCAAATACATTTCCATAATATAAACATTTTTAGACTTTTATATCAACTTATACACCAATATTGCAACTGTTCCAGGTTTAATACATATGTACTAGAGCATAATATTATCATGGCATATTACTTGGCTTAGATGTATTAATGGGGTACAACCTCTCAAGCTTTGCCTGCTTAATGTCTTCATTAACTAACTGATATTAATTTCTTATTTACTAGTAGAGTCTTTCCCAATATAAAATCCTCTTGAAACTGTTTACTGAGTCAAAAAACTTTACTACCAAACAATACTTTCATCTTATTTTTTATAACAAAATGTTCTTTATTATAAAAATGTCAATATTAATAAACATCTATCTCTTAAGCATAATAAATATAAATCACTGAAGGAATGGTATTTAAGTTCACTGACTTTTAATATGCTTTTATCTCATCACTGTTTTTGCATCACTTGTTATTAATCTAAGTACAAATATACTCTGATGAATTCTTCCTCACCAACTTTCCTTTTATCTGAAGGATTATTTCTCAAAGTTTTCTGTATGTTTTACAGTGTTTAAGAAAATAACATACCTATAGTCCAGTATTTTTAATGTGACGATAGCGTGTACATTGACTCTGGATTCACTTGGTAGTGTCATGGCAGTCTCAATAACAGAATCACTTTGGCTTGGTCCATCATCTGGCAAGAGAAAAGTTATGTGAATCCAATATACATATTATAAAGTCATTTACAAATTCTTGGAAATATATAAAAATGGAATACATGATTTCTATATGTTACTGGTAAGAATGCCTTTAGTCATATACTTTATTTCTAATAACTCAAATCTAGGTCTAGAATTTAATATTTAATTAACAGAAAATAGATAAAATTACTACAATATGGCTTTAAAATCTTTTAATAAATCCTACTAAGAAAATTTAGGAGTAGAAAAGAACCTTCAAAGAACAACTACAATCTCTCAGAAGAAACAATGACACTAAACCTTCCTCTTACGAAAAATATTATGGTCAATTAGAAGGATTTTATTAACAAAGGAAAAACATTACTTCCCACAAATGTCTACAAAATAGGTATATACTGATCTTCTAAGCTAGGACATATGGCAACTGATTATCTTTGATCACTTGAAACTGAGGGATTTACATAATCAGGTGAGCTTTTGGTACATTATTTATGTTAAGAGGGTTTTTTTTCAGCAAAGCAAGACTTTATTTTCAACAGGTATTTCCTAACATACATGCCTACTCACACACAATTAACCCTCTTATTAGTTTCCAAAGACTGTTTAACACTGCCATTATATGGTATAAAGAACAAAGCAACTCATACACATCAAAAAGAAATGGCTTTGTGACTTTTTGGCAAAAGAGACTTCAAACTATCTAGACATAAGTAAAAAAAAAAAAAAAAAACTATTAATTTTCAACAGTGTGAAGAAAATTAAATAGTCCTAGCATTCATATATATGTTAAGAGCATAAGGCATACCCAAAGAACATAAAACAGTTAGTAATATCTCTGATCTTGCTTCAGCCCAGGAGGCATTTAATGAACATTTGTTGAATACTATGAAGTATATTTCTCTTGCATGGAGCTCATCAATTATTCAATAATCAATAATATTAAGCTAGTAGTTCTAATGCAAATATCATATGGATATTTTGTTCACAGAAAGACCAGGGAGTAAAAGACAGTATCAAATAGAAATAAAAGACATCAAGATATTTATTAGTATTAAGCAAATGCTTTAGTATTTAGAAGTACACTAGCATTTTGGTTACATCATTTTAAAGAGATGTAATATATATTGCCAAATTACATCAGCAGATAGGCAACATTAAACCAGCAACAAAACCCAGCTTTAGTTTTTAAATATATGTGTAGACTAGCATGACAACATATTGACATAGAGTAATCGCACCACTTTCCAAAGAGCCACTTTTAATAATCAGCATCAAGAATATAAACAGGAAGGGGCGCCTGGGTGGCTCAGTGGGTTAAGCCGCTGCCTTCGGCTCAGGTCATGATCTCAGGGTCCTGGGATCGAGTCCCGCATCGGGCTCTCTGCTCAGCAGGGAGCCTGCTTCCCTCTCTCTCTCTCTCTGCCTGCCTCTCCATCTACTTGTGATCTCTCTCTGTCAAATAAATAAATAAAATCTTTAAAAAAAAAAAAAAAAGAATATAAACAGGAAGTCCATTATCCACTGGGACGGGACTATGCAAGAGAGAGATTTTCTTTTCATTATATATCCTTGTATATTGGTTGAATTTTTTTCCATGTACATTTACTGACTTTTTAATTAAAAAATACAAGTTGGCAATATTCCCTAAATTGATCTACAGATTCAATGTAAGCCGTATCAGAATCCTAGCTGACTTTTTGTAGAAATCAACAAACTGATTCTAAAATTCATGTGGGATTGCAAGAAACACAAAAGAGCTAAAACAAGACTGAGAAAAAAGAATACAGGATTTACCCTTCCCAGTTTCAAAACTTACTATAAATCAATGGTAATCAAGAGACTATAGAACTGGCACAGGATAGACATACAGATCAATGGAATAAAATTGAGAGTCCAGAATGAACCTTGTATTTCTGGTCAACTGATTTTCAACAAAAATGACAAAACCATTCAGTGAGAAAAGAATAGCATTTTCAACAAATGGTGCAAGGAAACTGGATAGCCACATGCAGAATTAAATTGGATCTTTATCTCATAGCATATATAAAAAACAACTCAAAATTAACCAAGTACTTAAAAATAAGAGCAAAAGTATAAAACTCAGAAGAAAATATAGAAAACAATTTTCATAAAATAGGTTTTTGCAAAGTATTTTTAGACATGAAGCCAAAAGCATAAGCAAAAAAGAAAAGGAAAAAAATAAATTGACCTCATCAAAATTAAAAGATAAAAAAAACCTTTTGTATTTCAAAGGACACCACCAAGTAATGAAAAATCAAACCCACAAAATACTAGAAAATATTTACAAATCATGTATCTGACAAGATAATTCTTTTTTTTATTAATTACTTTTATTAACATATAAAACTCAACACAGAAAACACAGGGGTACAGGTCTGTGAATCGTCAGACTTACACATTTCACAGCACTCACCATATCACATACCCTCCTCAATGTCCATAACCCTGTCACCCTCTCCCTACCCCTGCCACAGCAACCTTCAGTTTGTTTTGTGAGATTAGGAGTTTCTTATGGTTTGTCTCCCTCCTGATCCCATCTTCTGACAAGACATTTCTATCCGGAATACATAAAGAATTACTATAACTCAATAATAAAAAGATTAAAAAAAATAAATATTGGGCAAAGGATGTCTCATGAACATATATGCAAAATTCCTTAATACTAGCAAGTTGAATATTAAAAAGTATTTAAAAATTATACACTGGTGACTAAGTGGGATTTACCCAGGTATATAAGTCTAGTTCAGCATTCAAAAATCAATCATGTAATGCTTCACAACAGGATAAAAAAAGAAAAGTATATTATCATATCAATAGATGCATAAAAAACATCTGACAAATACCAACATTCCCTTATGATTAAAAACACTCAGCAAACTAGGAATAGAGGAGTTCTTTCTCAACTTAATAAAAGGTATCTACAAAAAACGTACAATTCACATCATACTTAATAGTAAGAAACTTGAAGCTTTCCACCTAAGATTAGGTACAAAGAAGGATGCCTCCTCTTACCATTCTTTCTGAACATCATACTGAAATGTCCTTGCTAATGCAAGTACGGAATGTCCTTGCTAATGCAAGTACGGAAATAAAATAAAAAGTATATATATTGGGAAGGAGGACAAAAAATAGTCTTTGTTCACAGATGACATGACCACAGGTAGAAAATCGAAAAGATGTGACAAGAAAAACCTCCCGAAACTAGTAAGTGATTATGTAAGGTTGCAGGATACAAGGTCAATATATAAAAATAAATTGTTTTCTGGGGCACCTGGGCGGCTCAGTGGTTAAGTGACTTCTGCCTTTGGCTCAGGTCATGATCCCAGGGTCCTGGGATCGACCCCTGCATTGGGCTCCCTGCTCAGCAGAAAGCCTGCTTCTCCCTCTCCCACTCCCTCTGCTTGTGTTCCCTCTCTCTCTCTCTCTGTGTCTCTGTCAAATAAATAAAATCTTTTAAAAACAAATAAATTGCTTTCCTTTCTATCAATAATAAGTAGAACCTGAAATTAAAAACACAATACTAATTACATTAGTATCCCCCCAAATGAAATACTTACATATAAATATGACAAAATATCTATAAAAACTCTATGAGGAAAGTTACAAAACTCTGATGAATGAATCAAAGCACTACATAAATGGAGACAGTATTCATGGATAAGAGGTCTCAATGTTGTGAAGATGTCCCTTCTTTCCTACTTGATCTATAAATTCAATGCAATCCCAGTCAAAATCCCAGCAAATTATTTTGTGGATGGTGACAAACTGATTCTAAAATTTACATAAAGCAGCAAAAGACTCAAAATAGCCAACACAATATTGATTAGAGAACAAAGTTGGAAGACTGACATTATTCAACTTAAAGACTTACTATAAAGCTACTGAAATTGAGACAGTGTGAAATTGCCAAAAGAACAAACAGATCAACAGAACAGAATAGCCCATAAATAGACCTCCATAAATACAGTCAACTCATTTTTAACAAAGGAACAAAGGCAATAATACAATGGAGTAAAGATGGTCTCTTCCATAAATGGTGCTGAAACATCAGGAAATCCACATGCAAAAAAGAATAGATTTATTCATAATTGCCAAAACTTGGAAGCAACCAACATTTGCTTTAGTAGGGTGAATAAATAAACTGTAGTACATCCAGACAATAGGTTATTCAGTGCTAAAGAAAAATGAACTATCAAGCCATGAAAAGCACGGAGGACACTTAAGTGCATACTACAAAGGGAAAGAAGTCAATCTGAAAGATTCCAATTATATGATGTTCTGGAAAAGGAAAAACTACAGAAATAAGAGAAAGATTAATGGTTGCCAGACAGGTGGTGACAGAGGAGATAAGAGGATAAATAGGCAGATCACAGAAGATTTTTAGGGCAGTGAAAATACTTTGTATGATACTACAATGGGGAATACGTATCAGTTGTCCAAATCCATAGACTATACTACAAGAGTGAACTCCAAGGTTAACTATGGACTCTGATTACAATGTGTCGATGTAGGTTCATCTTTGGTAAAGAATGTACCATTCAGATAAAAGATGTTGATAAATGAGAGGGGCTATGCATGTGTGGGGGCAGAGGATATATGGGAAATATCTGTACCTTCTTCTCAATTTCATTATAAACCTAAAACTATTCTGAAAAAATTAAGTCTTTAAAAATTTTTTTGATTATTCTGATATGACTTCTAACTGATTCATATCAGAATAATTAAATTTGTCTGGAGGAGAAAGCATATCTAGAAAAGAAAGGGAACTCCTTGATTGGCAGGAAATAAAAGTCTTAGAAAATTATGTTACTTGATTTGAAGGTCAAGCTGGAAAATGAAAATTGCTGAAATATATAATTATCTTATTCATATAACATACACTGATTGGCAATACAGTGCTAGGTTAGGCTGTGCATAACCAACAAAGTCATGAGCTAAATTAACAGTTGCAGTATTTAGTCACTAAGTTGTAGAGTGTTTGTTATGCAGCAATACACTAGTATAGCTCACTTTTCTTTAATGCTCTAGTGTATCCTACAATGATATGCATAAAATAAAAATTGGGATATAGTACAATTTTAGTGAAGCATTAAAAATTAAATGTATATGGGATGACTGGGTGGCTCAGTCAGTTAAGCATATGCCTTCAGCTCAGGTCATGATCCCAGGTTGGGATCAAGTCCTACATAGGGCTCCTTGCTCAGAGAGGAGCTTTCTGCTCCCTCTGCTTGAGCTCTGTCTCTCTCTCTGTCTCAGATAAAAATAAAATCTTTAAAAATAAATCAATAAATAGATAGATAAATAAAAATTAAATGTATAGTATCATTTTCTCTTTTGGTACACATTCATGCTAAATTAATATACCCTGGAAAATGTGTTTTATCTTTATACTTGTTAGAATTTAGCAAAACTATGCATGAAGCAAATATTCAAATAACTATTTTTTTAAAGATTTTATTTATTTATTTGACAGAGATCACAAGTAGGCAGAGAGGCAGGCAGAGAGAGAGGGAAGCAGGCTCCCTGCTGAGCAGAGAGCCCAATGCGGGGCTCAATCCCAGGACCCTGAGATCATGACCCGAGCCGAAGGCAGAGGCTTAACCCACTGAGCCACCTAGGCACCCCTCAAGTAACTATTAATATACTTCCTAGTCAATAGCATTCATATACTATATTATAAAAGTCAAGTTTTTTGCTCTTTTTTCAAAGTTAAAGCACTAGGATGCTTATTGAATCTTTTATTTTCCAATTGATACACTGTAACAAATCAAAGAAATTAAGGATAAATCATTATTATTGTGAATTTAAGGATATGTTTATAACTCCAGCGTATTTATGACCAATATGGATTCATAATTAGAACCACACCTGCCAGGGACCATTTCCTCTAATTATTTACACCCAAAATACATGTAAATTTATGTACTGTTAGCACTTCACTGCCTTTCATATTATCCTTCAAAATAGAGGAAAAAATAGAAAAGTACCTTTAATCTTGCTTCGCAGATACTTTAAGACTTCTTGGGTTCCTTTCTGAAAAGGTAGAGAGAAGACACATGTTCACCTTGCAGTTTCAGAGACCAACAGGCATATTTGAATTTCAAATTTAAAAACCAGAACTGAATTCCAAATATGCTTACATTTATAATTTCTCTTCGTATGGTTCTCAAAGGATTTCCTTCTAGTGCCAGAAATTTCAAATGAAGTTTTCCCAATGAACAGGGTAGACTACAAAAAGATTAACTCAATTTCAGGGAAAACATGAAGAGTAAGTATAATTCAACCAATAGTTGACTCTAAAACAACAACATGTAAGAAACTTGTAAAAACATATCCTATAATAGTGTCAAAGAAAGCTCAAGTAACATAGGTCTAAAATATCTCCCCTTGAAATAAATGCTGAACACATAAGAGAAAAAACAGATTTGTTCTGAAATTGTCATATTGTGATTGCTTAAAAAAAAAAGGTGAGCTACAAAAAACATTTGCTAAAAAATTGTAAAAAGTAAATTTGAATGAATCAGTGATTCAAGACAGCCATACACTCAAGGATACTAAATGTTTTAATTTCATCCTTCAAGTAAGCAAATGAAATTCTTCCCTAATAATCTAATATTACTTCCCATGTACAAAAGCACTCCTATCCCACAAACATTGTGATCAATGCACAATACCAATTTATTTTTTAATGACATTATAATCAAATTGCTTCTGTTCTTAATCTTTCAGGAGCTTCCCATCTCTTAAAGAATGAAAACTTACTCTTCATAGGCATTTTAAGGTCCTTTTCTATACGGCCTCAATTTACCTTTCAAGCCCTAAATTCAGTTCTGAACTTTCAAGGTTTTCTTTGTGCAGTTTTGTCCCACCAAGTAAATCATTCTGACCACCATACATACACACTTTAAAATCATGGTCATCCTCTAAATATGGTGGGACTAGAGTGAGGCATGACCCTGAAGGTGAAGGTGCTCTTAAATTCTGTGCTCTAGGCACTTAACTTGCCTCATCCTAGTCCCAGTCCTAATGATCATTTAAAAACATTTTCTCTTCCACAAAATTTGCCCTGATCCTCTCAATAAATTGCTGATACCTATATTTCCTTTACGCCCTCAAAGCATTTTCTATCTCTCCCATGGCTTTACATTCATTTAATTCAACAAATATTTATCAGGTACCCTTTATATACACAGACACTGATCTAGGAGTTAGAGATAGACAAGTGAACGAAACAGGTAAAAACCCTGACTTCCTAGTTTATGCTCTAAATAGATTAGAGTAACCTGTAAATATATCTGATTCTATTAGTATTTTTAGCTTGTTGCCAAGGACCAACTCTAACCATTCTTTTTAAGTCTGCATATGATACTTGTTCAATAAATGTTTAGTGAATTCAATTGAGAAAAGAGATCTCTACGTGTTTTTTACAAATCTTAAATAACTTATTAACTTATGAATTATAAGCAAATGCAGGTATGATTTTTTATTCCTTTGATCTTTAAACTTACCTACTAATATCATTGTTGCTTAGGTCAAGTCTCTCCAAAGACTGTAGCAGTGTAATCTCATCTGGAACAGATTTTAACTTATTATCCCGCAGGTCTAGCACAAGGATAGAATTCAGATGCTTAAGATGTTCGGGCCCTAATATTTCAATCTGGTTTTCACCTACATGTAATTCCTACAAAACCAAAGATGACTCATTATGTATTTCTGTATTCAATAGATAATAAAAATAAAATTGAAGTCTTAATTTCAAATCACTGAAAAATACATGGAAAAAACCCAAGTTTCTATTACTAACATGCTTAAGTTTTCAATTACAAGTAAGCTAATTCAAAGTTAAAAATCGTAAAAACAGAACATTTTCAAGGATTTTCTGATAATTTAAAAAATAATTAAAGGTTTAATTTGGCAGAAAGTTCCAAGTTTACAAACCAAAGCACAGAAATGATTTAGTAGTTACATTTACAGAATAATAAAAATACAAATCCAAGACCCATGCTGATAAAAAATTTAAAGTTTTAAAGTAAGTCAGAATGAGCATAAAAAGTTAAAATCAGTTTGTTGTTATTCAACATTTTCATTAGTGGTTATTTTTTTTAAGATTTCTTTGTTTACTTTAGAGAGAGAGAGAGAGAGAGAGCACAAGTGAGCAGGTCAGAGGCAGAGGGAAAGGGAGAAAGAATCTCCAGCAGACTCCATGCTCATCAGGGAGCCTGACACAGGGCTCCATCTCACTACCCTGAGATCATGACCTGAGCAGAAACCCAGGGTCAGACACTTAACGAACTGAGCTACACAGGTGCCCCTCATTAGTGATATTTAAATATAGTGATATCCCACTAATGGAATCTATAATTATCAGATGTATAACTAATCTTTAATTAAATCACTTTTTCAGTTCCTTTTATCATTGCCACCATTCTGTTTGAGAAGCCCTTTTAACTCTAATACATAAAGTATACATGAAGGAAAACAAAACATGTTAAATTTAGAAGACAATGCTATATACTTAAAACCAAAAGAAAGTAATTAATTTTAAACAGACCCAATAATGATCAGGTAAATATAAAAGGTGGCAACTTAATCAGAGTTAGATATAAATTCCTTCCTAGTACTCCAGGTGTCCTACAGTATGGCTCCACCATACTATGTTAGCCTCATCATCAACTTCTCCAGTTATATACAACTCCCCAGATGAAATGGACAAATTCTTATATTTAAGTTGATTCTTTCTTTAAAAAAAACTACTGCTAACAATACACCATTAATGTATTTAGTCATACTAAAATTCTGAAAAAGATACAAAAAACATAGCACTGTAACTAATACATATTCCCAATGTAAAAATTTCATTTTCATAATTAACTTTTGGAAAATATATAGTTATTTAATAATCACCTAAATATTACCTTTAATAATCTACAAGAAGGAAATTCTGGTAGAAAACGTAATTTATTCCTCCGCAAATAAAGCAATTCTAGTGATTCCATGTTAGCCAATTCAGGAGGTACAGTTTCTAAGAGATTTGAGTTACAATCCAAATGCTTTAATCCTATAATACATAATAAGTGAAAACAAAAATTCTTTAATAAAAAGAATAATATTGGTCTATATTTGTATATACATTCAAAGAACGTGTACATCATCATGAAGAATTACAAACCCATGCCACTGTATACTACTATAATAATCAAGAATCCTCAATACCACTGAATGAAATAAACATAAACTGAGATTGCTTTTATATTTAATTATAACTAAACAGATGTGACATTAAAAATGATGTTTAGTAATAGTCCAAATCATCTTTGTAATGGTAAAAAACAAAATACTTCAATACTGTTAAGGTATTCTAAAATATACAAACTATGAGATATTACTTCCCTCAGTAATTATGCATTTTTTTAAATATTTTATTTAGAGAGAGAGCAGGAGCAGGGGGAGGGACAGAGGGAGAGGGAGAGAGAGAATCTCAAGCAGATTCCACAGGGAGCCTGACACGGGGCTCAATCTCATAACCCTGAGATCATGACCTAAGCCCAAATCAAGAGTCAGCCACGCAACCAACTGAGCCACCCAGCAACCCAGTAATTCTACATCTTTAAAAAGAAAAAGCTCAAGGTAGTTAAAGATAGACATGGATGCATACTAGCTGTATGAATGGATGTCAAGTAACTGGCTAGTAGTAGCTTAGATACATGTATTTATATTTGGCCAGTTGACTTTCTGTCAAAAGGCCTTGGATTTCTGGGGCGCCTGGGTGGCTCAGTGGGTTAAGCCTCTGCCTTCAGCTCAGGTCGTGATCTCAGGGTCCTGGGATCAAGCCCCACGTTGGGCTCTCTGCTCGGCAGGGAGCCTGCTTCCCCCTCTCTCTCTGCCTGCTGCTCTGCCTACTTATGATCTCTCTCTCTCTCTGTCAAATGAAAAAAAAAAAAAAAAAGCCTTGGATTTCTATGTTTGTCTTCCTATTCCTCCATCTATCCATATGGCCTCTTTCTCCCTCCCTGTCTTCTTTCTTTCTTTACCCATTTTTGTTTAAATTACAGGCTTTCTCTAACATCTTAGCTAACACTATGAATAAGAATGCATACTATAGCTCAACAAGGATGTTCTTACTTGCAGAATCTCTCTTACCTCCTGGATCTTTCTTTCTTAAAAAAGCATGTAAGAAAACAAAAATGGAAAGATGTAAAGGTCTTCTTTCCCTTAAAAATTCAGTAAGCAGCTTTCTCCCTAATATATATCACAGATTCTTCCACTTACAGTAGCCACCATAAATTTTCCACAATTCATTCTCCACCCTTTAGTCTGAATAGGTGATATACTTTTTACAACTTTTTTGCTGTACTTTGAGCCTATTTTAACATAATGCAAGACTGGGTTGATATTGCCTTAGACTGCTTTTAATATTTAAAGAAGCTAACTGCTTTCAAAACAAAATATAATAGCACTACTTTCAACAAATTCTATAATAATTTATGTTTTATTTGGCTACAGCATTTTTAGAAATGTCACAGTTGGAAGTCTGGGTGGTTTAGTCAGTTAAATGTCTGCCCTCACCTTGGGTTGTGATCCTGGGTTCAAGCCCCGTATGGCCTCCCTGCTCACTGGGGAGTCTGCTTCTCCCTCTGCCTCTACTTTTCCCCTGCTTGTGCTCTCTCTCTCTCAAATAAATATAATTTTTTTAAATAACAATAAAATAAAAAAATTTAAAAAGTCACAGTGTGATTCACCCAAATCCAGTAAATTCTATAAAGAAAGTTTTTAAAAGTTAGACACTAAATTTTTACAATTGTTTGCATTTAAGAGTACTGACTGAGAATATAAGCAGTGCATAGTGGAAAGAACAACAGGGATGGAGTAAAAGGATTCAAGCCCTTACAGAACTGTTGTGATTCCAGCCATGGCTCTATGATATATACCATAACTTCTAAGCCTAGGTTTATGAACCTTTGAAATGTAAAAAATACTCATTCCCCTAATTTACATTCCCCTAACATCACAACTTTGTGATGGCAAAACAATACACATAAAAGCATTTGAGTTCCCAAGAACCATACAAACGTTAGATATTGTTCTTAGGGTCCAGTCATTAATAGCGAAGTAACAACTAAATGTCCTACTGGTGATAGTTTAAAAGTCATGGCTATCACTGTCAGGGCTAAAGGAAGAAAGCATCTGATCGTTAATTATATAGTATATTGGAAAAACTGCTATAAATTCAAAGTATTTTCCTATTGATTTCCCTCTTTTCCCATCTCTCAAGATATGTTCATTCAAATTATGAAAAAAAATTTCAAGCTTCTTACATATTAAGATAACATACCTTTATTGAAAAATGGCAAATATAAGCAAGGTCTTAATTACCGGTATCCTAAGTAAAGGCTCCCCTAAAATATCCACTCGATTTATGGGAGATTTAACGTTTGCACTCCTATTACAAATGACAAATGACTACTAATCTAAAATAAAACAGCACAATTTTACAAATTTATCTCAAAATGATCTGTAATCAACTATACAAAATCACTCCTATAGCCTCCACAAGAGGGAGGTTTAAGAAAATGAAGAGGGTTTATACATGATTAGCAGAAAAAACCAGATAAAGTAAATAGTGGATAGCTGATATACAGTATGCTCATCAACCAAGAAATAATAGTTTGCCTTTAAACAACAACAAAAAAATGATCTTGCCCTCTAAATCAAGAATTCTGAGATAATGAATTATAATTATTTAAAAGGTACTGAAATGTGCCTTCAATTTTTTTATCCCTTAATATTAGTACTAGAATATGTTAAATACGATAGTTCAATGGTAAACTTCAATAGAACCACTATTTTAACCTTTTCTTTTTTAAAACATGATTGACCATTTGGGCAAAACTAGACTATCTCCTGGCATCATTACTTATGGACCATGAGGAAGCTACAGCTATAACAAAACCACAAGTAGAATCACCAATTAGAGGGGAATAACCTCTTAGTGATTGTTGAATAAATGAAGAGATAACACAGCTCAAAACCCTAATCAATATCTCCGGTATATAATTTTACCATAACTCATAATTATATTTTATTTTCCTCTTTTTGATATGCCAAAATATGCTTTTGGTAATAACTGTTTAGGAAGTTAAGCTAGACAACAATGGTCTGGAGAAAATCTTACTATTTGCTATTATTTGCTTTACCCACATAAAATCTATTATTTTACTTCCCTGTAACTAACAATATTAAAATTTATTTTTCTAAGTATAAGTTGCACCAACTTCACATTCATGTATGTTTTAAAACAGAGAAGATTTACTTTTCATTCCACTTATTTCTGCTGGCAAACTCTTCAGTTGATTGCTGGAAAGATTAAGTCGCACCAGACTGGAGAGAGAAGAAAAACTAGCAGGAACAGTTGTAAGACGATTGTTGGAAATATCCTTTAGAAAGACAATGAATCAATCAATCCATCCATCCATCAATTAATCAGTTTATTTATCAATAAATAAATTATCAATAAATCAATTTACCAATAAATTATCAATCAATAAATTTATAAATAAATAAATAAATAATTGATCCCTCAAAGAGATTCGAGGATTTGAGGAGATTACAACATGAAGACTATTTTAGAGGTGGTAATTTTATAACCCTCATCCACTGACAATTTCACAAACTGTCATTCATTACCTCAGACCATGTGCCCAGTAATGGAACACAAAGGAATCAGAATGAATTCTAACTTCAGAAATACTTTATATAAAGGTTTCTGTTATTACTAAGTCATGCTATATCATGTATCATGTTTTTAGTTAAAAAAATCTGTCCATCTGATATTTATTGAGTACATAGGATAAATTAGGCAAACTAGGTAAACTGTAGTATGAAATGAAAAATACCATTGCAAGAGAAAAAAAAATCTTGAAAGAAAAAAAAAATAAACCTGAGAAAATAGATGTTTTAATTTATTAAATTATATAAAAAATATTCCCTCTTGGTTCTTCTGCTGACAGAGGCAAGTCTGTTTTGACTAAGTCCAGAAGTTTACTCTCTGCTTTTCCTTCATTTAAGCTTGCCTAATCAGTGTCTATACCTGTTTTTTAAGTCATTGTTTCTGTTTCTTTCTTTAAAACATAAACACAGTTTTGAAGAGAACGTTTTTTGAAACTCTGTTTAAAAGACAAATAACTCTTATGACATCTGAATTAGGGGGAAGTACTCCACTAGCTATCAGCAAACTGTTAGGTAGGGCCAGTTGTAATAATGAATTAAAAAAAAAATGACTTAAGGGAACTTGTTCTCTGAAGACTCATTTAGCCTAACATTAAACAGTTGCATTCTCTAACTCTAAGTCAATTAAGAAGACAGAAAAAGATAAAAACTCTAGATCAGCTATTCTTTATAAAACAGGGCTACAATTATAAATAACACAAAATAACATATCATAATCAACAACAGGAAACAACAATCTACAACTCCTATACTCTAAACACTAAGAATGAACAGATTACTACTGAATAAATATTTTGTAATATCAAAAGTTACTGACACTAAATGCAATGTAGTATTCTGGATTGGATCCTGGAACAAAAAAAAAGGACATTAGTGGAAAAGCTGGGAAAATCTTAATAAAATCTATACTGCAGTTAGTAATCGTAGTACCAATGTTAATTTCTTAGTTTTTCAAATGTCCCATGGGTATGTAAAATATCAAATTAAGAAAAGCTAGGTGAAGAGTATACAGTAACTCTGTGATCTCTTAACATTTTTGCAAATCTAGAATTATTTCAAAATAAAAAATTTTAAAAAGTTTTTGATACAGAAAAGATTAATTCACAAATTCTTAAGATCTTTTAGAGAACCCAAATCAACAAAATTACTAATAAAGTTAAACATTTAATTATTGTGGCTAATAATTAAATTAAATATAATAATTAAATATAAGTACCTTATACATAAATTAATCAGTATTTATACTGTCATTTCTTCAATAAATATTTAGTATCATTGCTAAGCAGTTTTTATATAACTTTTAGGAAAATTACTAGCTTAAATTATTAAACATGCTTATATTTCAAATGTTGTGATGTATTTTTGCTTACATTTATGATTGGATACTGAGTCCCTAAGAACACAATTTTCAACTGAACTATCCTTTCATTATGCAAATGACTATCTAGGAACCCATGAAAAGGAAACAACTGAGAACTGCTATAGTTTCTTAGATCTTCTTTCTAATCTAAACACTCTTCTTTTTTTAATATACCAATTGCTATCTTTTACCATTAGACTTTATAAGAAAATCTGATGGCCCTTTCCTTAGCCACTCATCTTATCTACCTATGTCTTTAACTTTCCAAACCTTATTTCCAATCTGATCACATTGAAAGACAAAGACAGATACTGAAGAACAGTTAAGGAAAGTTACATATGTTGATTTCAAACACTAGAATGGATGAAGGAAATATCAAGAAAGATGTATTTATAGGGGGAAAAAAGAGGTAAAAGAATTAATTTCCCCTTTAATGAGAAATAAACTTGGACTAAAGTGACATAAGTTTCTGAAAACATGTAATAGGGAAAACAATAAGAATGCAAGAGGAAATAACTATGTGCAGTATAGATTATATATTAGAACAACTAATCTAATTTAGCTAGTCTTTCAGATCGAGTATTTTAGTGGAATCTTACTCCTTCAGGGGTATAGTAGGAGAAAAAAAGGGATACACTTTGGAGTCAAACTGACTTATGTTAAAATCCTGAATTCATTACCTATTAGTTACATGGCTTCAGATAAGGTACTTTTTTTTTTTTTTAAATAAACTGTAGTTCCATATCTGAATTAGGGGATAAAACTATATACCTTGCTATATGTAAAGTACAAAGCAAAGTGCTTATTATTTTCATTACTCTTAAAATAAAATCTGTTTTGGGCTGCCTGGGTGGCTCCGTGGGTTGAGCCTCTGCCTTCGGCTCAGGTCATGAACTCAGGGTCCTGGGATCAAGCCCCGCATCTGGCTCTCTGCTCAGCGGGGAGCCTGCTTCTTCCTCTCCCTCTACCTGCTGTGCTGTCTACTTGTGATCTCTCTCTCTGTCACATAAATAAATAAAATCTTTAAAAAAATAATAATATCTGTTTCGCTTTATGGTTATCTCCATTCAGGATGTGACATAGATGGAATGAAAATTTGCAAGGTAAGGTGGACATTTTGAAAAATAGGGAAGAAAAGGCAGGCCTTAAAGGGACTGTTTGGACATTCAAAGGACAGGAGGGTTATAGAGACAATAAAGAAGGAACGGGTATAGAAATGGGAATTCGTATGCTAAAGACACATCTCCCCTATTTTGCAAAGCCATAAAATCCTCTAAATAACAGCCATTCCTTATCACCCCCTTCCCACACTCTATTCTTTATTAAAACCTAACGTGATTTTATAAGAAAAAATAGGAAAAACAAATTTAAGAATTACTAATTTAGCAATCTTATTGAAATACAGTTTCTGAGAATCTAGTCATATAACCAGTTGTCCATGTTTTTCATGATTTCAATCATACATCCAATTTCTCAGCCTGATGAAAAATCACATCAGCCCAAAATTATATAAAAATTGGAAAATCACAACTTACCAAATCTTCTAAATTGAAAAGTTGTTCAAATCCCTCTGGGATGCAAGTTAGTTCATTATGCTGGAGATATAGACCTTTCAGGTTTCTTAGCTTTGTAATTTCTTCAGGTAGTATTTGCAGTTTGTTATGGCTATTGATTGATAAAATAAATGCTAAGTAATTTGGTAATAACATAATAAATATATGTAAAGGTATTTTTGCTAACCAACTACATGGGCTCATTTATAAAAGTGAAATATGGTTACTAGTTCTAAAAACTTATCAAACTTCACGTACAACTCATTAAGATTATAGTCATCTAAATTAATCAAATTGAGAGTTTCAAAGAAAATAAAAGAACAAAGGTTTTTAACCAAATCATAAATTTTAATTTTTCATACTGTATCTGAATTTTATTTTATTTTACTTTAAAGATTTTATTTATTTGAGAGAAAAAGAGAGAGAGTGCTCATGAGAGCACAAGTTGGGGAAGGGGCAGAGGGAAAGGAGAAGCAGGCTCACCACTGAGCAGGGAGCCCGAAGCAGGGCTCAATCCCAGGACCCCGAGATCATCATGTAAGCCTAAGACACTTAACCAACTGAGCTACCCAAGCACCCCTGTATCTGAATTTTAGGATTCTGACACAGATATGGGTACATATTCATTACAGTGGAGTTAATAGCTTCTATGGGATTATGTTTTTAAGCTAGCACTCGAGACAAAAATAGCTATTTCTGTTAAAGGGCCTGGTATGTCCAGCTAAATATAATATGCAACTCCACTCTTCTTTGTACTTAGTCTTAATTTTTCAGCTCAGTCTTTCTGTAGAGATACTCAGTTTATTGTTTTAGAAGTCCCAAGTCACTGAAGATGATACATTCCCTAATAATTAAGAGATGACCTGATTTAATTTGTTCCCAGATTTATCTCAACTATTCACTTAGGAATTCCATTCTATTTTCATGCCATCTACAATTACTTAACAAATAACAGGGTGGAATAAGAAATATAATGGGGTAAAAATAACCTTAAATTACATAAAAATAAAACTAGCTAAAACAAAAATACCAGAAGATGTCATCTAAAATAAATAAAAAACACTAGGGGAACCTGGGTGTCTCAATGGGTTAAGCCTCTGCCTTCAGCTTAGGTCATGATCTCAGGGTCCTGGGATCAAGCCCCGCATCAAGCTCTCTGCTCAGCAGGGAGCCTGCTTCCCCCCCACACTGCCTGCCTCTGCCTGCTTGTGATCTCTCTCTCTGTGTCAAATAAATAAATAAAAAACACTAAAAAAAATGTCAAAAATTGGTTATTATTGTTGGTCACTTAATTGAAATCTTTGTAGATTTCACAGGGATGTAGTTGGGCAGAGATGTAATCCTAGCTACATATTTCCTCCATTTCTTTCCCAACTATTTCCTCCACCCTAACACTTAATAGTCTGAAGTACTGGAAGCTAAAGCTAAAGCCATACCTAATCCATACTTCCTCACATATTCTCTCAACCCTACCCATTCTTGCCTTTGCAGGTCACACCCATGCCCTGGACTTGTATGGGGAAAAGGTTCTGATGTAGCTCTAAATGATTAGCACCTTTGATGTATAAATATTTTTGCTGATTTGTAGTAATTTTTTCAACAGATGAAGACTCTAACTAAAGGAAATGTTCTCCCTCAAAGCAATTGACTTAATCACAGAACACTGAGATAGATCTATAACCATACCAATTTTATAAACCAGTTTTTCAAAACATGTTTTGAACACTTAATAAACCTTTTTATCTCCTAAATGAAATCTTCCCAAATCCCCTTCCCCTAATCTGTATATATAAAATATATCTAAAGTATTTATTATTTCTTGGAAGTCTAGGTGTGTATTGAAGGGCAAACAAAGTTAGCCAGAGTCTTAGCCACCTGGCTTCCAAAATACCTATCAACAAGTACCGGAAGCATATCTGTAGAACTCCAGGAATCCTCAGAAAAGTTTAAAAGCTACTAATACTAAAATCATGACATTTTTCATCATTAATGAAAAAATTATTTCCAATTTTTTCTTATTGCTTAACCGAGATGTTTTTTAAAATATCAAAGTAACTTAAAACCTGAGATATCAATAAAATGTTACAAAAAAAACAGTAAAAATTGTTACATAAAAATAAAACAAAAAGAGGATACCTGGGTGGTTCAGTTAGTTAAGCATCAGCCTTTGCCTCAGGTAATCATCCCGGGGTCCTGGTATTGAGCCCCAGGTCCTCAGGAGCCCTGCTCAACAGGGAGTCTGCCTGTCCCTCTCTCTCTGGCCCCTGCCCACTCATGCTTTCTCTCTCACACTCTCTCTCTCAAATAAATAAATAAAATCTTTTTTAAAATTAAATAAATAAAACAAAAAGGACTTAAAAAATCAACTGGCTTTACATTTGTAAAATCAGAAAAACATGCAGGCAATTCTAAAACAAAAATAAACAAAAATAATCTGAGAAAATTTAAATTTCTTAGTGGGGTGCCTGGGTGGCTCAGTCGGTTAAGCATCTGCCTTTGGCTCAGGTCATGATCCCAGGGTCCTGGGGTTGTGTCCCACGTCAAGGTCCCGGCTCAACGGGGATTGTGTTTCCCCACTCCACCCCTCTCCCCTGCTCTCTATCTCACCATTTCTCTCAAATAAATACATAAAATCTTTTAAAAAAAAAACAAAATTCTTACACTGTTTTTACCACTTTCTGAGATAATACAAAAATATTCTCTAGTATTAGAAAAAAATTTTAAAGGATATTAGATTTATACCCTTATATTAGCAATACTGAAATTAAATAAGCTTAAATTTTACCTGACATTAAGTTTCTGAAGATTTTCTAACTCTCTTATAGCAGAAGGAAGGGATGTCAGCTGGTTATCATGTATCTAAAATGTATTAAAAAGAAGTCAATTAGCTTAGTCTTATAATTAACCACATATGAGTTTGCCATTGTACAAAGTTTTTCAACAATAATTCTGTTATTCTAATTCAATAGTATAGTTGGAGTATTAATTTGTTCTATGTACAGAAGAAGAAAAGGAATTTGAAGTTGACTAAGCTCCTGTTCAAAAATCATGAAGTGGTAAGTCATCAATTTTAGATATTACAATTAAAATCACTGAGTGGAATCTCAGTCTCACATGAGAGATGAGAGGGTTAGAAACAATTAGCACTTGATGGTATGATTCATGTCAACATATACCAAAAAAAAAAAAAAAAAAAAAAAAAAAACAAGAAAGAGGAGAGGGAACCTCTATTATGTTCTCATATTATTTTCAAGATACAAGGAACCTTAGAGAACATCTAAGCCAATCCATGCATTTTGTAAATGAGGAAAATAAAATCTTCTCTAGAAATTTGACCAGATCTAACACTTTCTGACATGAATTGGAAGATTTCTGATGTTCCTAAGTAAAGTACATCCAAACTCCAGAGACTGTGAAATAAACTACTCATGCTTTACCGTATGACATGGCAATGAGACTAAAAAACTGCCCTTGAATAAACACACAAAAAGTTAAGTTCAATAATTTAAGTCAGTATTGAAGCTTAAAAAAAAAAAAGTAATTTCAAGTACTGCTTTAATGTCCAGAATAATGAAGAGAAAAATAATAGCAATAAAAAAAAGATGAGCAACAGCAACCACTTGTTAAATATGGATTCTGTTTGCATGTAATAATGCATCAAATTCTAATAACAATTTTTAAAAATAAGTAGTGTCAGTCCCAGTTTATAGATGTGGAAACTGAGGTACAATGAAGTAACTTTCCCAAGGTCACACAGCTATCAAGTGATAGTCAGAATTGGAAACCTGATGTTCTATAAGTGCACTGTTAACCATTAGGCTATGCCTATCAGTAATTTATTCTTCCTTGCATTCTACCAATTAAACACGTTTTTTGCTTATCAAAGCCTAAATTTACCTTCAGAGTCTCTTTAACTAATGACCCATATTTGTATCCGTCAACTTACATCAAGAACAGTGAGTGCAGGCAGGAGTCGTAGGTCATCTGTAAGTGACTGAAGTTTATTGTTGGATATGATTAGTTTGGTCAAATCCGTCTGCTCCCACCATCGCTCAGTAGTACTGAATGAAAGATTCTGATTAGCTTCCTCAGGAATATCCACATTTATTCTCCAGACACACTGAGGTACTATTTCCATCACCACCACATCAAGAAGAAAGAAAAGAAATGAGATACTAAGTGACATACTTCTATAATAGCCATTCAGTTTATCTATCGAAAAGCATTTTCTGAAACAGTAAAACTTTTTAAAAATTCAAAAAGCAATAATTTACATCCAAAGTTGATTTTATTCAAAAACAGAGTATGTATTTTATATATTAAATCTTACTTTTTTGGGAAGATTTTATTTATTTGTCAGAGAGAGAGAAAGAGCACAAGAAGGTCAAGGGGCAGGCAGAGGGAGAAGGAAAAGCAGGATCCCTGCTAAGCAAGAAGCCCAATGTGGGACTTGATCCCAGGACCCTAAGATCACAACCTGAGCCAAAAGCAGATGTTTAACCATCTGAGCCACCCAGATGCCCCTTACTTTTATTTTCATTCAGCTATATTTACTATACACATACTCTTCATAGTACATTGTAGTAGATATATAAGACAATAAGGAAGAAACTGTACCATTATGCTAACACGATAAAAGTATGAAAATCAACATTTATAAGATGATGTCATTAAGTTTTACAACAGGAGTATATAGTGTCTGAAAAAGCACTGGTAATAGTAATAGCTAATAAGTAAGAGGTAATTTTCTAACATACTCATTTAAACTTCATAATATTTCTGTGACATAGATGCTATTACTATTCTCATTTTATAGGCAAGAAAAATGGGGCACAGAATTTACCCAGGGTTATACAGCTAGTAGGTAGCAGAAATGGGATTCAAACACCTGCATAGCTATATTGCCTTGACTCTCAGTAGACATCTGGAAGGCATAACTAATTCTGGTAGCTGCTATTTTACCTAACATACAATTTTATTTCTTACTCCATCACACAACATCGTGTGAATTCTACTGCAGCAAACACAGTAACTTCTTAAACATAGCAAATAAGACCATATATGTTGAACAGGGAGAGTCCAAGTTCACCACTAAAAAATTTGAAACTCCAGAAGGTATTAACTTGCTATAGTGTTACACCAAAACTATTTTAAAGTCCTTCATTCCAGGGCACCTGGTGGGCTCAGTCGCCTCTGTCTTCAGCTCAGGTCATGATCCCTGAGTACTGGGACTGAGCCCCACATCAGGCTCCCTGCTCAGTGGGGAGCCTGCTTCCCCCTCTCCCTCTGCCTGCTCCTACTCAGCCCCACTTGTGCTCTCTCTCTAACTCTTTCAAATAAATAAAATCTTAACAAAAAAAGGGGGGGGTTCTTCATTCCTTCATAAAAGTAGGACTATACAGTAGTATGATTAGAACTTTCATCAAGGCAACAATTGATTATATCCTGCAGTCACTGACAAAGATTTCAGAATGAGACTAAATGGAAAGGTGTTGTCAAAGTTTCAAGTTCAGGACACTGAAGTATAATTCAGGATTACTAATCTGATATAATGGTTTTATAGAAGCAAAGCAGAGTTTCTGAAATCCAGGAGACTTACGCTCCTTCAAAAAAATGGGGTGTCTATATTCATATTAGAATGAATGAAAAGATCCCTCTCCTACCCCTTCTCTCTGGTTAGGTAGTCACTTTATAATTCTACAAATGAATCCAGCTACTATGAATATTATAGAATATAAGCCCATTTATTTTTCTTTTTGTGGATTGTGGTTTATTTTTAAAGCAAAGCAAAATAAAAAGAATTCACTCTCCCCAACTTTTTCGAGAGCAAAAGCACCATAAAATGTGCCACTGTTACTAGTATTACTATTACTACTGCTACCATTATTATTATTATTTTGGTATATAGGTATAGATGGTTGAGTAAGAATAAGAAATGACAAATCAACTCAGATTAGAATGTGAATTTATTGACACCAAAAGAGTCCATATAAATGGGGATGTTCATGTATTTGACTAAATATCAGTGTTATTCTTGAGAAAAATTTTTTTATAAGTTACCAATGAGCCATCCAGGTTTCGTTACCAACAAACATTTCCAGAATAAAAAAAGAGGCAAGACAAAACAATACAAAACACACACAAAAAGGCAGAAGAAACTATATGATATGTACAACTCTACTCCTAAGAAAATACATAGAGCATTTGTGCATCTATTTTTCTCTGATACTTATATAGAGGTACATTAAGATGATTATAATTAATAAGCAATGTAATAACAAATTTTGGTGGGGATGAAGGCAAGGAGCACAAGAAATTTACAGACAACATAATGAAAATATCTGTTACCCGTCAACTACACTAAATATATGTTACAATGTTATCATTATTTCAGATTTTTCTGTTAGCAAAATTTGTCCTTGTGGGAACTATCAAGGTACGGATAACTGTTGATACTACAGTGTTACTGAACATGTATCAATTTGCTTTTCCAGAAATACGTTTCCCCATTACTGTTTGTGAGGTATCCCAATTTCTTCAAGAGCTTAGAGCATCAAGATTTATGTCACTTTTCTTCTCCTACCCAAAAACAGAAAGAACCACTAAAAGTTACAAAAAATCCTAATTATAGAGGAATTCTTTAGAGTTATCCTAAAATAGCTTACCAATGCATAAAACAGATACTATCAGGTAAAGATAAATGTCAATAGGCATATAAATGTGACAAAAATTATGATATAGTCAGGTTGTTTATTTATTTATTTATTTGGCTCCACATCCGGCGTGGAGGCCAACATAGGGCTTGAACTTACAATCCTGAGATCAAGACCTGAGATCAAAATTTGGACACTTAACCAACTGAGCCACCCAAGTGTTCTTCATTTACTTTATGTAATATTTAAAGTATTATATAAAAAGTCAAATATATACATACATTTAAAGAACAGTATAATGAAGTACACTCCATTATCCACCACCCACCTATAACAATTATCAACTCCAGTCTTGCTTCATAAATAACCTCATTTTATAATGATATAAGCAACAATCACAAACTAGAAAAAGAAGAAATTAAACACAAAGCAAACAAAAGCAAAGAAATAAAGAGGGGAAATCAATGAAACAGAATAGGTAAAAAGCAATTAAACCAATACCTGGTTCTTTGAAAATTGAAATATCACCTTAGATCCTACAGATGTTAAAAGGAAGAGACTATTATAAACAACTTCACATCTATAAACTCAATAGCTTAAATAAAATGAACAAATTCCCTGAAATGGGGGGAAAATCCGCAACAATATGAAATCTGAGTAGCCTTGCATCTATTAAAGAAATTGAATTTGCTATTTTAAATATTCCCATTTAAATATTTAAAACATACTTAAAACAAAGAAAACTCCAGGACCAGATGGCTTCACTGGTGAATTCTAACAGACATTTGGAGTAGAAATGATACTAATTCTACATAGACTCTTTCAGAAAATGGAGGAAAGAACAATCTCTATCTCATTTTATAAAGCCAGCATTACCACAATAACAAAACCAAAGACATTAAAAGAAAAAGAAAAAAGAAAGAAAAAGAAAAAAGCTACAAGCCAAACTCCCTAATGATTATAGACCCAAAATTCCTAACAAATTACCTACATATAAAAAATATATCACAACCAAGTGGTAATTACATCAAGAATGCAGGAGTGTTTTAACATCTAAAGATCAATGAGATCGTCATATTAACAGAAAAAAGATACCAATGATTTTCAAGAAATGCAAAAAAAAAAAAATCTGACAAGATAAAAACTTTCAAAAAAACTAAGTATTGAAGGGAATTCTTTTGACCTAATAGCAGGTTTCTATGAAAAGGCTACAACTAACATCATACATAATGGTAAAAACTAGGTGATTTCTCTCAGTGTCTTCTTAAGACAAGGATGCCCATTATCACAACTTCAGAATTCTACTCTGGGTCCTGACCAATGCAATAAGGAAAGTAAATAAATGGCATTCAGATTGGAAAGGAAAAAGTAAAACCATCTCTATTATTAGAAAACATGATCGTCTATGTAGAAAATCCTAAGGAACCTATAAGAAAATTATATGGAATGGGTTTAGAGATTCCACAGAATTCAAGGTTAATATACAAAAATCAACTGTGCTTCTAGGTATTAGCAATCAATAAATGAAAAACTCTTTTAGATGCTTAAAGATTCATAAGACACAGCATCTATGAAATACTCAGGGCTAAGCTTGACAAATCAATGCAAAACCTGCGGTATGAAAATAAAAAATACTGCTGTGAAAATTTAGAGAAGGTCTAGATAAGCAGACAAATATACCAAATTATAAACTAATTTAAGTTGTCACTTCTCCCCAAGGTGACTTACAGATTCAGCACAGTCATAATCAAAATCTCAGATGGCGCTGCTAGAGAAATTAACAAGCTGATTCTAAAATGTATTACCAAACACAAAAGAACTAAAATAATTTTTGAAACAGTAGAAAAAAATTGCAGAACTTAATGATACTTGATTTAAAGTCTTAACTATAAAACTTGTCAAGACAGTGTATTAGTATAAGGATATATAAATCAATAGAAAAGATGAGTTCAGGAAAATTCCATGCAATAATATATTGTCAACCAATTTTCAACAGAAATGCCAATTTAATAAGAAATAGTCTCCTTCAACAAATTGCACTGGAACTGTAAATTCATATAGATAAAAAAAGAACTTCAACCTTTACCTTATGACACACTCTAACCTTAACTTAAAATAGATGATAGTCTTAAATATGAAAGACAAAACTATAAAAATTCTAAAAGAAAGCAGAGGAGAAAATCTTCGCAGCTCCTGGATGGATAAAATTTCTTAGTACAGAAAAAGTACAAATCCCAAAAGAAAAAATAATTGATAAGTTGGACTTCCTCAAAATTGAAAACTTCTGTTTTTCTAAAGAAATCATTAATCCTCAGACCACGAAAATATATTAGATATCGATAGAGACAGATATCTGAATACTTCTATCCCAAAACATAAAAGGTCTTACAACTTAAATACAAATAGCCCAACTTAAAAACAGACAAAAAATCTGAACACTTGGTAGAAGAGATACAAATGGCCAATGAATAGTTG